ACATTACCAAAAGTTCTCTATAGGTTTAATGCAATGCCAATCAAAATCCCAACGGTATTTCTTGTAGAAATAGATAAAGCCATCATGAAATTCATATGGAAAAATAAAAGACCCAGAATAGCAAAAGCAATTCTAAGCAGGAAAGGTGAATCAGGCAGTATAGCGATACCAGATTTCAAACTATACTACAGAGCAATAGTAACAAAAACAGCATGGTACTGGTACCAAAACAGGCGGGTGGACCAATGGTACAGAATAGAGGACACAGAGACCAATCTACAAAATTACAACTATCTTATATTTGATAAAGGTGCTAAAAGCATGCAATGGAGGAAGGATAGCATCTTCAACAAATGGTGCTGGGAAAACTGGAAATCCACATGCAACAAAATGAAACTGAATCCCCTTCTCTCGCCATGCACAAAAGTTAACTCAAAATGGATCAAGGAGCTAGATATCAAAACAGAGACTCTGTGTCTGATAGAAGAAAAAGTTGGCCCCAATCTACATATTGTGGGGTCGGGCTCCAAATTCCTTAATAGGACACCCATAGCACAAGAGTTAAAAACAAGAATCAACAAATGGGACTTACTCAAACTAAAAAGTTTTTTTCTCAGCAACAGAAACAATAAGAGAGGTAAATAGGGAGCCTACACCCTGGGAACAAATCTTTACTCCTCACACTTCAGATAGAGCCCTAATATCCAGAGTATACAAAGAACTCAAAAAATTAAACAATAAGATAACAAATAACCCAATCAACAAATGGGCCAAGGACCTGAACAGACACTTCTCAGAGGAGGACATACAGTCAATCAAGAAGTACATGAAAAAATGCTCACCATCTCTAGCAGTCAGAGAAATGCAAATCAAAACCACCCTAAGATACCATCTCACTCCAGTAAGATTGGCAACCATTATGAAGTCAAACAACAACAAGTGCTGGCGAGGATGTGGGGAAAAGGGTACACTTGTACATTGCTGGTGGGGCTGCAAATTGGTACGGCCAATCTGGAAAGCAGTATGGAGATTCCTGGGAAAGCTGGGAATGGAACCACCATTTGGCCCAGCTATTGCCCTTCTCGGACTATTCCCTGAAGACCTTAAAAGAGCATGCTACAGGGACACTGCTACATCGATGTTCATAGCAGCTCAATTCACAATAGCTAGACTGTGGAACCAACCTAGATGCCCTTCAATAGATGAATAGATAAAAAAAATGTGGCATTTATACACAATGGAGTATTACTCAGCACTACAAAATGACAAAATCATGGCATTTGCAGGGAAATGGATGGCATTAGAGCAGATTATGCTAAGTGAAGCTAGCCAATCCCTAAAAAACAAATGCCAAATGTCTTCTTTGATATAAGGAGAGCAACTAAGAACAGAGCAGGGAGGAAGAGCATGAGAAAAAGATTAACACTAAACAGGAATAAGAGGTGGGAGGGAAAGGGAGAGAGAAGGGAAATTGCATGGAAATGGAAGGAGACCCTCAGGGTTATACAAAATTACATACAAGAGGAAGTGAGGGGAAAGGGAAAATAAACAAGGGAGAGAAATGAATCACAGTAGAGGGGGTAGAGAGAGAAGATGGGAGGGGAGGGGAGGGGGGATAGTAGAGGATAGGAAAGGCAGCAGAATACAACAGACACTAGCATGGCAATATGTAAAAACATGGATGTGTAACCGATGTGATTCTGCAATCTGTATTTGGGGTAAAAATGGGAGTTCATAACCCACTTGAATCAAATGTATGAAATATGATATGTCAAGAGCTTTGCAATGTTTTGAACAAACAACAATAAATAAATAAATAAATAGTAAAAAAAAAGAAAAAAGAAATGCTAGCCAGAGCAATTAGGCAAGAGAAGGAAATAAAAAGGGTAAAAATAGGGAAGGAATAAGTCAAACTATCACTGCAGACAAGATGATCCTATACTCAGAAGACCTAAAAAAAAAAACTCTACCAAAAGACTGCTGGAGCTAATAAACAAATTCAGCCAAGTAGCTGGTTGCAAAAGCAATAGAATCACCAATAATAAATACACTAGTAATGAGTCTGTGATAAAGAAATCAGGAAAACAATTCCATTCACAATAGCCTCAAAAAAAAAATAGCTAGGAATCAATCTACCTAAGGAGGTGGAAGACCTCTACAATGAAAATCATAGAAGACTGAAGAATGAAATCTTTAGAAGACTTTGAAGACGGAGAAAGCCCTCCCATGTTCATGGACAGGCGGGATTAATATTGTTAAAATGGCCATAGTACCAAGAGCAACACACAGATCAATGCAATCCCATCAAAGTACCAACAACATTCTTCAGAGAACTAGAAAATTAATTTGGAAGAATGAAAGATCCAGAATAAAGCAATTATAAACAAACAAACAGAAACCCAGTGATACTAGAGTCATCCCGACAGAGCTACAGTGACAAAAGCTGCATCATAGTGGTATAAAAACAGATGCACACACCAGAGGAACAGACAGAAGACCCCGAGACAGACACAGCCATCTGATCCGTGATGAAGACGCCAAAAACACACATTTCAACAAATGGTGCTGGGAAGAGTGGCTGCCCATAGGTGAAAGAATGAGATGAAAGTCTTATCACCCAGCCTGCACAAAAATCAACTCAAAATGGATTGAAGACCTAGAAATTAGACCAGAAACCATGAAATTTTTGGAAAAAAAAAATAGGGTCAACACTCCAACAGGCAATGACTTTCTCCATAGGACTCAAAGCTCAGGAAATAATGCCAAGAGTTAATAAATGGAATGGCATCAAATTTAGAAACTTCTGCACAACAAAGGAAACAAGTAAGAATTCCAAGAAAGACCTACAGAATGGAAGAAAATCTTTACTAGCTACTCTTCTGATGGAGGATTAATATCCAGAATTATAAAAACTCAAAAAACTCAACACCAGAAAAAATAGGCAGATGAACTAAACCAACACTTATCAAAAGAAGAAATACAAAAGGCCAACAAATATATATATATATATATATATATATATATATATATATATATATAAATAAATATAAAGTTCAACATCATTACCAATTAAGAAAACACAAATCAAAACTACAATGAAATCTCACCTGACTCCAGTTGGAATGGCAGTCACCAAGAGTAGAAGCAGTGGTAAATGCTGCAGAGGGTGTGGAGAAAAAGGAACACGTTTACAAAGCTGGGTTATAAATCAGCAGGACGACTATGGAAATCAGTATGGAGGCTCCTCAAAAGACTGGACGTGGAGCCACCACCACCATGGCCAGCTACACCACTCTTACTACAGCAAACACGCACACCCATGTTTCTGCAGCACAATCCACAGCAGCCAAAATATGGAAGCAGCCTAGGTGTCCATCAACAGGTGAATGGATAAAGAAAATGTGGGATTTATACACAATGGAGTTTTCTTCTTTTTTAGTTGTAGAGAGATACAATATGTTTATTTTTATTTATTTATTCTTCTGTGGTGCTGAGGATCGAACCCAGGGCCTCATGCATTCGAGACAAGCGCTCTACCACTGAGCCACCACCCCAGCCCCGACACACAATGGAGTTTTACTCAGCCATAAAGAAGAACGAAACCATGTCATTGGCAGGAAAAATGGATGAAACTAGAGACCATCATGTTGAGTGAAGTAAGCCCAGGTCAAAGGTCACGTGTGTTCTCTCATACCTGTCAGCTAGAGAGGAAAACGGAAAGGAAAGTGGGGAGGATCTCACGAAAAATGAAGGTGATCAGCAGAGCGGAGAAAAGGAGCTGGGGGGGGAGAGGCGGACGGGGAAGCCCTGGGGATGCCGCTGGCAGACTCCGTGTCACACTGCGTGCGTGTGTGACTATGTGACAACGAGCCCCACTGCTGCACACAACTAGAGCACACCCTTGCACTATGGGAAAGAGGAGGGCCAGGCGCACGGGCGCACACGGGTGCTGCGGCAAACAAGGCACGTCAGCACAGGTTCAAAGGCCGGGGACCTGGCGGCATAAAATTGGATCAAAACCACCCTCGAGGTTGAAGCAGCAGAGCCAACACTCGCTCGCCCTTTACAACAGCGCTCCCCCAGAAGGAAGATCTCAACTCAACTCCAGCGCCCACGGGCTCCTCCCGGACAGAGGCCTGTGCGTGGACGTGCGGCCTCAGCACCCGCGTCCTGACGCCCAGTGCTCTGGGCCGAGTACTTATATGCCACCTACTTTTATTACAAACTATTTCTGGTCTAAACGTAAGTTTCTGGGAAAAAAATCCAACAGCCACCCCCCCCCCCCCAGCTAAAGATAAAGCATCGTGGCTGGGACTGAAGACCCCATGTGGGCCCCCATATTCTCCTCCCTCTCACTGGAGGTCCCCCACCTCCTAGATGGGGTGTGCCTGCTTCCACAGGTGTGTGTCCTGTCACAGCACAGGTGGACGCCCACAATGGACATTTAGTGCTGCGTGTCCACTTCTAAGGGCCACATGCCCAGCAGCACCTCACCAGGCCCGTGTTATTCAGCATAACGTGTTTTTTTTTTTTTTAAAGAGAGAGTGGGAGAGGGAGAGGGAGAGAGAGAGACAGAGAGAGAGAGAGAATTTTTTTAATATTTATTTTTTAGTTCTTAGCGGTCACAACATCTTTGTTTGTATGTGGTGCTGAGGATCGAACCCGGGCCGCACGCATGCCAGGCGAGCATGCTACCGCTTGAGCCACATCCCCAGCCCCAGCATAACGTGTTTAAGCCACCCCTCACCAGGGGCCCACCTGGGAGTCCAAGGGCAGGCCAGGCCACTTGGGCACTGCCCTGTCCTGCATAGCTGGCCCCCAGCCCTGGAGGGTGCCGGACAAGGTCATGCCCTCCTTACCAAGGCACACACAGCCCCCAGGAGACAGCTGGGGACTAGGGCCCTGGAGGGGTCTGTGTCGGTGGAGGCTCATGGGGAAGCAAGAGCCCTGTGCCCTGGGCCCGAGTCTTCTGAAAGGAGGGCAGGGGTGACGTGACTCACCAGCGGTACGTCAGTCGGCAGCTGAGCAGCCATCTCTCCACCGGGACACGATCATCAGGGGAAGAGGATGGTCCTGAGGGACCAACAGAGCTGTGGATGTGGGGGACGGGGACCAGGTGAGAGGTCAGGCCTGGCCTCACAAGGACACACAGGAGGACACACACACAGGAGGACACAGGAGGGCCCGTGTTGAGGGGGCTTACTGCAGGCAAGGCACTGCACACATGATCTCATGGAAGCCCTGTTTGCCCAGAAGTGGGCACTACTACCCACCCACTTCACATGGGGGAACTGAGGCCAAGAGAGCCAATCCTCTGCCCCAGATGGGAGCCAGGACTGGAGTGGGTGGAGTACGTCGGTGTCCACGGGCTTAACAGTAGCCCATGGCCTCCCGGATGCACGTCACAGGGCTGCTCTACCACACACAGCCTTCGGGGGAGCAGGACCCCCGGCTCCTCCCAGTGCCTCCCGCTCCCTGCCCAGCCCCAGCCCCTCGGGTGCTCCCAGACCTCATGCTGCGGTCCTTACTATGGGCGAGAGCCATGTTTGTTCCCAAGGGCAGACCTCATGTGGCTGTCCAGGGCCCTCAGAGGCGGGTTCCCCATGCTGAGAAAGAGCCAGTGGCCACGGCCTGGGTCATCACCTCACCTCCTGAGCTCCCTTGGGACAAAAGGCAAGCAGGGCCCAGGCCCCAGCCCCGACCCCGACCCCAGGCAGGACTTTCCACCTGGTCAGTCCCCTGGCCGGCCATTTGGTCTGCGCCTCCCTGATCACAGCCACACTCAGCTTCTGCGCACACCAGTCCAGGGGGCACTGAAAACTGCTGGTGTAGGAAGAAGAATCAGGGACTGACTTAAATGAAGCTGAAGAAATAGGGCAGCTGGCTCAGGTCTCAGGGCAACACCAAGGCCCAGCACAGCTGGCTCAGGTCAGGGCAACACCAAGGCCCAGGACAGCTGGCTCAGGTCAGGGCAACACCAAGGCCCAGCACAGCTGGCTCAGGTCAGGGCAACACCAAGGCCCAGGACAGCTGGCTCAGGTCAGGGCAACACCAAGGCCCAGCACAGCTGGCTCAGGTCAGGGCAACACCAAGGCCCAGCACAGCTGGCTCAGGTCAGGGCAACACCAAGGCCCAGCACAGCTGGCTCAGGTCAGGGCAACACCAAGGCCCAGGACAGCTGGCTCAGGTCAGGGCAACACCAAGGCCCAGCACAGCTGGCTCAGGTCAGGGCAACACCAAGGCCCAGGACAGCTGGCTCAGGTCAGGGCAACACCAAGGCCCAGGACAGCTGGCTCAGGTCTCAGGGCAACACCAAGGCCCAGCACAGCTGGCTCAGGTCAGGGCAACACCAAGGCCCAGCACAGCTGGCTCAGGTCAGGGCAACACCAAGGCCCAGCACAGCTGGCTCAGGTCAGGGCAACACCAAGGCCCAGGACAGCTGGCTCAGGTCAGGGCAACACCAAGGCCCAGGACAGCTGGCTCAGGTCAGGGCAACACTGCAGGCCCAGCACAGCTGGCTCAGGTCAGGGCAACACTGCAGGCCCAGCACAGCTGGCTCAGGTCAGGGCAACACCAAGGCCCAGCACAGCTGGCTCAGGTCAGGGCAACACCAAGGCCCAGCACAGCTGGCTCAGGTCAGGGCAACACCAAGGCCCAGCACAGCTGGCTCAGGTCAGGGCAACACCAAGGCCCAGCACAGCTGGCTCAGGTCAGGGCAACACCAAGGCCCAGGACAGCTGGCTCAGGTCAGGGCAACACCAAGGCCCAGGACAGCTGGCTCAGGTCAGGGCAACACCAAGGCCCAGGACAGCTGGCTCAGGTCAGGGCAACACCAAGGCCCAGGACAGCTGGCTCAGGTCTCAGGGCAACACTGCAGGCCCAGGACAGCTGGCTCAGGTCTCAGGGCAACACTGCAGGCCCAGGACAGCTGGCTCAGGTCAGGGCAACACCAAGGCCCAGGACAGCTGGCTCAGGTCAGGGCAACACCAAGGCCCAGGACAGCTGGCTCAGGTCAGGGCAACACCAAGGCCCAGGACAGCTGGCTCAGGTCAGGGCAACACCAAGGCCCAGGACAGCTGGCTCAGGTCAGGGCAACACCAAGGCCCAGGACAGCTGGCTCAGGTCAGGGCAACACCAAGGCCCAGGACAGCTGGCTCAGGTCAGGGCAACACCAAGGCCCAGCACAGCTGGCTCAGGTCAGGGCAACACCAAGGCCCAGGACAGCTGGCTCAGGTCAGGGCAACACCAAGGCCCAGCACAGCTGGCTCAGGTCAGGGCAACACCAAGGCCCAGGACAGCTGGCTCAGGTCAGGGCAACACCAAGGCCCAGGACAGCTGGCTCAGGTCGGGGCAACACCAAGGCCCAGGACAGCTGGCTCAGGTCGGGGCAACACCAAGGCCCAGGACAGCTGGCTCAGGTCAGGGCAACACCAAGGCCCAGGACAGCTGGCTCAGGTCAGGGCAACACCAAGGCCCAGGACAGCTGGCTCAGGTCAGGGCAACACCAAGGCCCAGGACAGCTGGCTCAGGTCAGGGCAACACCAAGGCCCAGGACAGCTGGCTCAGGTCAGGGCAACACCAAGGCCCAGCACAGCTGGCTCAGGTCAGGGCAACACCAAGGCCCAGGACAGCTGGCTCAGGTCAGGGCAACACCAAGGCCCAGGACAGCTGGCTCAGGTCTCAGGGCAACACCAAGGCCCAGCACAGCTGGCTCAGGTCAGGGCAACACCAAGGCCCAGCACAGCTGGCTCAGGTCAGGGCAACACCAAGGCCCAGCACAGCTGGCTCAGGTCAGGGCAACACCAAGGCCCAGGACAGCTGGCTCAGGTCAGGGCAACACCAAGGCCCAGCACAGCTGGCTCAGGTCAGGGCAACACCAAGGCCCAGCACAGCTGGCTCAGGTCAGGGCAACACCAAGGCCCAGGACAGCTGGCTCAGGTCAGGGCAACACCAAGGCCCAGCACAGCTGGCTCAGGTCAGGGCAACACCAAGGCCCAGCACAGCTGGCTCAGGTCAGGGCAACACCAAGGCCCAGCACAGCTGGCTCAGGTCAGGGCAACACCAAGGCCCAGGACAGCTGGCTCAGGTCAGGGCAACACCAAGGCCCAGGACAGCTGGCTCAGGTCAGGGCAACACCAAGGCCCAGGACAGCTGGCTCAGGTCAGGGCAACACCAAGGCCCAGGACAGCTGGCTCAGGTCAGGGCAACACCAAGGCCCAGGACAGCTGGCTCAGGTCAGGGCAACACCAAGGCCCAGGACAGCTGGCTCAGGTCTCAGGGCAACACCAAGGCCCAGGACAGCTGGCTCAGGTCTCAGGGCAACACCAAGGCCCAGGACAGCTGGCTCAGGTCAGGGCAACACCAAGGCCCAGCACAGCTGGCTCAGGTCAGGGCAACACCAAGGCCCAGCACAGCTGGCTCAGGTCAGGGCAACACCAAGGCCCAGGACAGCTGGCTCAGGTCAGGGCAACACCAAGGCCCAGGACAGCTGGCTCAGGTCAGGGCAACACCAAGGCCCAGGACAGCTGGCTCAGGTCTCAGGGCAACACCAAGGCCCAGGACAGCTGGCTCAGGTCAGGGCAACACCAAGGCCCAGGACAGCTGGCTCAGGTCAGGGCAACACCAAGGCCCAGCACAGCCCTGAACATCTACAACCTGGAGATCACCTGGGAAAGCCCAGGCCCCCTCCACGATGGACCTTCAACAACTGCCATCTGTCAAAACTCCAAAATTACTGGGAGCTTAGCAAAATGTCATTACTCAGCACAGACTCCTGCCCAGCCTGGAGCCTGAATGGTGCCACTTGGGGGCTAGAACCAGCATCTACCCTGTCGGGGTACTGGGGTTGGAACAGGCAAGTGCTCTGCTCAGAAGAGCCTCCCAGTCCAGCCTCAGCACTTGTAAACCAGCTTCCAGGGCAAGAACCCGAGACAAAAGCAGCCACAGCACCAAGCCAGGCCTTGTCATGGCAAGGGCAGAGCCGAGAACAGGCGTTCCCCCGGGGTGTAGGAATGGCCTCTGCCTCTGCAGGGTTCTCTTCCCACCCAGAGCCTCGGGTCAGCTCAGAGGTCACCTGGAGAAGGCGCTCCCGGCCCTGAGCCCTTCAGCCGCAGCCCACTCGGGTCTTGCCCCAGCACACTTCATTACACCATCAGTGCTGCCTTTAGAGGGTCACCTGTCTTCCCCCCAGACAGAAGTCCCTGGCGGAGCACAGGATTAGCAGTTTTGGATGGCATCTCAGAAATCTAGGACATCTGTCACATAGGAGATGCCCAAATACAGCGCTGATTCCAGAACAAAGCCACGTCTTACGGGGCAAGGGACCAGGAAGTGGGACTCCCCACAGGCTGCTGAAGGGGTGGGGGTCCTCACCCTCCTTCTAGAAGTGAGTGGGCAGGACACAACCCTGGGATCTGCCACAGCTATGAGAAGTCACACACGGAATACACCAAGTTCACTGCAGCACTGCTCCCAGAGCCAGGAGCAGAACAAAATGTAAAACCACCTCAACCAACAGAAACCCTGGACGTGCTGGGCCAGTGGCACACACCTTAATCTCAGGTCCTTAGGAGGTGACGCGGGAAGATAGCAAGTGTGAGGACAGCCTCAGAAACCTAGTGAGACCCTGTCTCAAAAAATTAAAAAGGAGGGGCTGGGGTTATAGCTCAGCAGCAAAGCGCTTGCCTCACACACGTGAGGCACGGGCTCCATCCTCAGCACCACATAAAGATGAATAAAGAAGAGATATCGTGTCCATCTTTAAAAAGGGCTGGGGTGCCTCAGAGGTAAAGCGCAAAGAGAGAGAGAGAGAGAGAGCGAGCACGCGCACGAGAGCGTGCGAGCCTGATGAGTGACTAGGGGGACAGGTAGTGCGCCTAGAAGGGCGCTGTCCTGAAAGCCAAGCAGGAAGCAGAAAGTAGCTGGGCACTCAGAGGCACAGGCCTGTAATCCCAGCTTCCTGGGAGGCTGAGGCAGGAGGATCTCAAGCTCCAGTCTGGGCAACTAGAGACTGGAAATAAAGTGAGGGCGGCAGCCCTGCCTATCACATGAAGGCTGGGCTCCATCCCTGCTGGGAGCAGGTGGGGGGCTGGAAACCAATGAACCCGGTGACCAAAGGAACAGGTCACATAAATGGAGGGGCCTCTGACAAGGAGAACAGGTCACTTTAGGTCACTTCTGGAGAACAAAAGACAGTCTTGTTCCTGTCCATGTGTTCATGGTTTTACTAAGTGGTGCCCAGTTTTCCAGAAGTGCTGGGCAAGGCTGGTACCTTGAGGTGTGGAATGGAAATGGGGAGGGGGGCTGCTAATTATTGTTTTCTTTCTACTCCTCTGAGTTGTGCCCCTGGGTGCAGCAAGCTTAGAGTCCCATCGTGAATTTTTTAACAGAATTTAATTTTTAAACCGTATCTCTTCTGGGTCAATGATCTCTAGCACTCACCCTGGCACTGAGGTCACCACACTGGTTCCTTTGGCTGGACTATGGCAGTGACCACAGTCTACTTAACCTGTCCACACACAGCAGGGCCCCATAATACCTGCAGGGCCTGGGCAAAGTCTGATTTATTTTAAAATCATAAGAAAAAAAAGGTTAGTCTAAGGCAACCTTAACTACACTTGTCTGTATACTCACGAAATCACAAAATATAACTTGATTTTTTTTTAATGGCGCAAGCTGCCCATGAATAGAAAGAGTCCCAGAAATCATAAAGTAGCCCTAGAAGCAACGTGGCCAGGAGCGCAGCGGGTGAGGTGGCACTCAGTGTGGCTTCCACGAGCTGCAAACTCAGCGGCTTCTCGTTCCCCTTCTTCCCCTGAGCTTCCCGGTATTTCCAGTTTCCAAGGGAGCCTCCCTTAGGGAAACCTGTAACCTGTCTCAGCTGAGCAGAAAGGGAAAGGGGGCCCTGGAACCTGGATGCCTGGGCGCAGCCTTGGGTGGCCCCCTTAACGTCGGAGCCTCGGTTTCCCGTGTGTAAGACAATCTCAGGAGCCCTGGAAAAGTGCCCAGACCGACACCAGCTCGACACCCTCCGGAGAGAGGACTCCTGTGGGAAAAGAGCGAGCGGCCCTTCAGGCACGCCCCTGGGAGGCAGAGGGAGAAGCTGCAGCCCCGCCCAGTCCTTCACACACCCCCTGCACGCCCAGGACCCGCCCCTCCAGCCCATCCTCGCCAGGCCAGGGACAGTAGGGGGAGGCCGGGAGCGGACTAGGAGAAGTGTGGGCCGGAGGCAGTGGCTCTCTAGGCCCCAGGCTCAGGCGCCCACGGGCTGGCACACACACCGTGGAAGGAGCACACGCACCTGCACGTGTGCACCCACCCAGACAGGCACTCACACCCAGAAACACTCAGGCGACACTCCCGCTCCCCCAGACACAGAAGGAAAAGCTACACACAGGTGGACACCCAGAGGGCAGCGCAGAGACACCATGGACAGAGATCACACCAGAGACTGGGGCCCAGGGTACCAGCGGAAACGTCCTCACACAGAGACAAGGACTCTGATGAAGCGTTTGTGTATGAAGGACCTTGGCGCACACACAAAGGCAGGGCCACCCAGTCCCCCAAGCAGACCTGCACTGAGACACTGCAGAACCTTGAACAAACACGCTCTCTCCTGTCTCTACTCCCTCCCCAGTCCCTACACTCGCCCCCCCCCCGCCCCGTGCACGCCCCCTCGCCCCGTACACGCTCCTCGCCGCGTGCACGCCCTCTCCCCGCGTGCACGCCCCCTCGCCACGTACACGCCCCCTCGCCGCGTGCACGCCCTCTCCCCGCAAGCAGCTCCTCGCCTTGTGCACGCCCTCTCCTGCATACTCGTCCCTCTACCCGCGTGCACGCCCTCTCCTGCATACTCATCCCTCTCCCCGCATAGACGCCCTATCCCCAAGTCTGTCCCTTCCGGGGGCCGGATCGCCTCGGCCGCGTAGAGGGTGGACTCACCTGCAAAACGTGCCAGGACAATGACCGCACCCGCTAGGCCCTCCAGGCCGCGGTGCGCCTGCGCGGACAAGGCCGGACTACACCTCCCAGAAGCCCGCGCGCGGCCGGGCGAACCCGAGCGGAGCCGAGGCCGCAGGGAGCCCCCCCGTCTCCCAGAGGCCTCCGCGGATCCCGTGACAAGCGGGTGGGGCGCGGTGGGCGCAGGGACCGGGACGTGAGGGGCAGGAATGGGGGCGGGGGAGAAGGCCGGCGGGAGGGAGCTGGGGAAGGAGGGAGGACCGGCTGCGGTGCCGGCGGGCTGGGCTGGAGGACGGCTTCTTGATAGGACCGGTGTGAACCACGGAGATGCAGAGGAGCCCGGAGCCCAGGCTGCTGAAGACCTCTCCCGGAGGCCGCCGGGGCGGGCCGTCCGCGCTCCCCGGACGCCAGGAGCGAGCGGGAGGGCCAGGTGCAGACACAGGCTGGGCTGGCAGTCCTGGGACGTGCCCTGGGCTTTGCCCTTCACGGAGAAAGTGACCGGACCTCTGGCCCACTGGGGTCTGCTGTCCCCGCCCTTTCCTCGTGTAAGCCCGACCCACTCCTCGCCTGAGCTTTCCACGACACTCCTTTTTGACCTGCTGCCCCACTCTCAAGTAGAAAATGAAAACAGATTAGCTCTTTAATCAACTTGGTGCAGTTTTGCCTTCCTGAGATTCCAAAAGAGAGCCACGTACGGTGACACCTCGGGAGGCTGAGGCCAGAGGAGCTCAAGTTCCAGGCCAGCCTCAGCAACTTAGGCCCTGCCTCAAAATAAAAGAAAGCGCAGCTCAGTGGTGCAGCACCCCTGGATTCAAAATTCCCATTACCAAAGGTTGAAAAGGAGAGAGCAGTGCCAACTGCCTTTCCAACTCCAGCAAGAATGTGATTGGCCAGGTCCTTCGGAACCACGCGGTAGAGCAGGGCCAGTTACTCAGCTGAAAAGATGCGGACGGGGGCAAGGGACACTGCACGGAGAAACGTGCCTTCAGCGCCGCATCGTGTTTCCGATGCCGGGTTCGTACTGTACCGCGCAAGGTCCTCTCGGTGTCGTTTTCACGTAGCTCTCTTTCATGTCTATATGTGCATTTACATCTATTTTCCTAACAGCTGCATAGATTCTACTGAATGAATACACCATGAAATTTCATGATGGGCACTCAGGCGTTGTTTCTAATAGTTCACCATTGATTTTTTGGCCACTGTATGTTTTTCTCTGCTTGTACACTTTTGTTTCCGAGAAATACGGATTCGCTAGTATGTACGCATAACGAACAGTGGACTTCCTACTTCCCACGCACTCACCTATACCGGAATTATCATTCTTCTATTATTTAAAATTGAAGCACATACATTACTTGAGTTAGCTTCTCATGGTCCTAAGTTGCAGATGTTGCCATTACCAATTTGTACCGGTGCTTTGAGTCAGAGAATGGCCCTCTGTTACATGGCAAACATTAGTTTTCTCACCTCATAAATTTTGTACAGCCTAATGTCAGCTTCTGGGTTATGTGTAATGCTCAAGGTCTGACTCAAACCAAGGGTATAGAAATATTATTCTACCTCTTTCTTGTACTTTAACATATTACACTCAAAACCTTAATCTTTTAGGTTTCCATTACTGTACAAAGTACAGGTCAAGTTTTTCCAGTGAGCTAGGGTACCAATACCATTTAATCAATCCATCTCTTCTACACTGCAGTGAACAATCATTTTTCATATCCACAGGAAATCTGAAGGCTATATATGCTCTGCATGAGGCTGCTCATCCTGTGGCCTGTACCCTGGATCAGATGTGAAGAGGAGCTTGAGCCAGGAGCAGTGGCACACACCTGTCACCCCAGCAGCTCAGGAGATTGGCAGGAGGATCCCAAGTACAAGGGCCAGCCTCAGCAGCTCAGGGAGGCACTAAGCAACTGTGAGGCCCTGTCTCAAAACATTAAAAAGGGGCTGGGGATGTGGCTCAGTGGTAGAGCATCCCTGGGTTCAGTCCCAAGCACTAAATAAAGACAGAAAAGATTAAAAAAAAAAAAAAAAAAGGAGGGAGAGAGCGCTGGAAATCTCCATTTCTCTAGCAGCCAGGTGCTCTGGTTAAGAGCTTCCTTCACAGGGACCTCTATACTGTCAGAGGCAGCATCCAAGAGAAGACCCAAGAGCTTTGGGGCTCCAGAAAATATACCCCTACAGGGATAGGTTAACTGCTAGAGCACACAGGACTTCACTTGGGAGTGACAAGATTCTAAAATTGTGGTGACAGCGACACAACTCTTAATACACTGAGCCACGCATTGTTAGTTCCAGTGACGCCTGGAGGTTCCTCTTTACTTCTGCTGATGGCGGCACGGGGGTCTTATCCAAAATTGCATGGCATGTGAATAATTTCTCAACAGGGCTGCTACCAAGAGGAAATTCCCCCACAGCCTCTCCATCACTGTGTCCCAGTTCTCCCTTCAACACCTCTCACTCCACAGCCCCTGTGTCTGAGCAGCAGGCACCTACACCCAGCACTCCCTAGCACCTTCCTTAGATGGTGGCTCTCTGTGGCACCTGTGTTTGTCAAATAGTATTTAAGCCTTTGTTCTCTCCCACCAGTCTGTGAGGTACAGTTTTTGTCTACCTCCTACTCCAGCCCATCTCCACTACCTAAAACTGTGCCTGGCACATTAGTAAGTGCTCAGTTAACATCAACTGAATGATCGCTAATTTCTAACCCAAACTACATTTCTCTCTATAACCACAAATCTAGGCAGATTTGTTGGACTCAAGAATGTCACCTTAAAAAATATTGGGATTTATATTGTAATACCAATAAATCTGCATATTTAACTGGAGGAGAAATAGCTTTACCCAACTGAGTATTTCTATATAGAAGCATGACTAGCCTTCCAACTTTTTCTTTTTTTGGTGATACTGGAGAGTGAGCCCAGAGGAGCTTTACCATTGAGCTACATCCCCACCCTTTTGAGGATCTCAAACTTGAGATCCTCCTGCCTCAGTGTCCCAAGCCACTGGGATTATTATACTTGTGCACCACTGCTCCTGGTAACTTTTTACTATCTTAAAAATTCAACATCTATATTCAGAATTAATTGCAGTATTTCTGTTTGGGTATGTCTTGTCAATCTCAGGAACAAGATAGGAAATTTTAATGCAGGTTTTTTTTTCTCCCCTGGAGGGGGAATTTGGTGTTGTTTTGGTACTGGGGACTGAACCCAGGGGTGCTTAGCCACTGAGCCACATCCCCAGCCCTTTTTAGTTTTTGAGATAGGGTCTTGCTAAGTTTCTTGGGGCCTCACTAAGTTGCTGAGGTTGGCCTAAAACTTGCAATCCTCCTTCCTCAGCATCCTAATCCACTGGGATTAAAGGCATACACCTTGATATTATTATAGTATTTCAGTGTTCTACAGCCATTAAAACACTCCAGAACTTGTCTGTGCTACTGTGTGTGTGTATGTGTTTTCTTTCATGGCTACTAACCTATCAAAGCTTCCTTCTCAGTTTTGCTACCACTACCCACTGGCTAGTCCAGTGTGCTTCCAGAAGCTTCTGTTCTAACTGGCTTATTCTCTAAGTCACAGTGAAGAAAGAACACCTGGGCTGCTGCATAAACGTACATGTTTACAGGAGAGGGGAGCCACCCTATTACCTTATGCGTGGGAACCTTTCATTCTGAGAGTACTCATGACTCAGGGAGAGTGGAGGTTCCAGTCTGCTCTAAAGCTGCAGGTTTCTTACCTTGACCTATGGTTCTCTTTTTTGAAAATGGTTGTAAGAAAACTTTTACCTAAATGACTAGCATTTATGTAGTGCCAATTGTATGTCAGGACTGTGTGCAAACCCTTAAAAAGATGACCTCCTCTGTTTTTTAAAGTGTTTTAAATGGAAAAGAAACAGGAACATGTATTTTATTTTAAAAGATTGAGCTGGAATCGTGCCACACTGTAGAAGTCCAAATGAAATTGGGTAGCGGACTGGAAACGGCAGCCTAGAGGCACGTGGAGGACGGCTCCCGGGGACCTGGTGGCCCGGCGCGGGGAGCGGGGAAGGGCTGGGGAGGTGGCTGCGGAGTGTGCACACTGAAGGTGGGCAGGATGCGCACTCTGCCTGAAGGCCTTCCCGCAGGCTGCGCACGGTAGGGCCTTTCCCCAGTGTGGGTCCTCTGACGCCGAGTCAGAGGGGCCACCTGGCTGAAGGCCTTGCTGCGGTCCTTACAGTCATGCGGCCTCTCTCGCATGGACTCTCTGATGCAGAGCCAGGGACTTACGATGGATAAAGGCTTTCCCACAAACGCCACACTCGAAAGGCTGCTCGCCGGTGTGACGGCATCCATGACAGACCAGGGATGCCCTCTGTCCGAAGGCCTTCCCACACTCAGGACACTCGTGGGGCCTTCTGCCAGTGTGCCCCCGCTGGTGCTGCACGAGGTGTGCCATCTGGCTGAAGGCCTTGCCGCAGGCCCGGCACGCGAAAGGCCTCTCCCCGGTGTGCACCTTCCGGTGCTGCGCCAGGTGTGAGTTCTGGCTGAAGGCCTTGCTGCAGTCCTGGCACGCGAACGGCTTCTCGCCCGTGTGCACCCTCCGGTGGTGGGCAAGGTGGGTGCTCTGCCGGAAGGCCTTCCCGCAGTCCTGGCACGCGTAGGGCTTCTCGCCCGTGTGGACTCGCTGGTGCAGCGTGAGCGAGCCGCGGTGGCTGAAGGCCTTCCCGCAGGCGGCGCACCGGTAAGGCTTCTCCCCCGTGTGGACCCGCTGGTGCACGGTCAGGGACGAGCTGTGGCTGAAGGCCCTCCCACACTGGCCGCACCTGTAGGGCCTCTCCCCGGTGTGGACCCTCCCGTGCTGGAGGAGGCCTGCGTGGTCCGTGAAGGCCTTCCCGCAGTCCGCGCAGTGGAAGGGCTTCTCCCCATTGTGGTAGTACCGCTGGTGCCGCACCAGGGAGGCCTTCTGCCTGAAGGTCTTCCCGCAGTCCGTGCACCCGAAGGGCCTCTTCCCAGAGTGGACCCTGCGGTGGTGGGCCAGCGAGGAGCGGTCGCCGAAGGCCTTCCCGCACTGCACACACTGGAAGGGCCTCTCCCCCGTGTGCACCCTCCGGTGCTGCGCCAGGTGTGCGGGCTGGCCGAAGGCCTTGGCGCACTGCGGGCAGCGGAACGGCCTCTCCCCGGTGTGGACCCGCCGGTGCTGCGCCAGGTGAGCGTTCTGGCTGAAGGCCTTCCCACACTGGGCACACTCGAAGGGCCTCTCTCCCGTGTGGACTCGCCGGTGCTGGGCAAGGTGGGCGTTCTGGCTGAAGGCCTTCCCACACTCGGCACACTCATAGGGTCTCTCTCCAGTGTGGATTCGCTGATGAAGAGTAAGGGTAGAAACTTTGCTGAACATTTTCTCACAGTCGTTACATTTCAAAAGTTTCTTTTCTCCATAGACTTGCTTGGGTTTTTTGGGAACTGAATGTGTTTTCTTATCTGTATCAAAATCACACCTTCTCTGCCCCCTGGGAACAATCTGTGTTATGTAAGACACTGTATTCTGATGACAATGGGTTCTGGATTTGGTAGAACGGTCTCTTTTCTCAACATGGGTATCCACATGAGTGACTGTCTCCTGACCTACCAGCTCCCTGTCCAGCAAGGGTCCACACTTCCAGTCTTCCCCAGAATGTGCACAACACTCAGGGTCACGGCTTGTCAGTCTTTCCATTACTGCAGCCTGGGATAATTTTTCCTCGTGCATGTCCCGATGTGGAGATGATTCCTTGGTCACCCCCACACACTCCAGGTCTGAAAGGTAGTAAGAAAACAAATATGTCCTTTATGCAGTGCTAGAAGAATGGAAACCTTCAAAATGAAAGCATGTGAATCAACCATGATGCCCACAGGAAGCACCTGCATCTGCTGTTTGCGAAGCCTTCTGACATGACACAGCCACCCCAGCACTCCGGGACAGACCCTGGGTGGCCGGGGTACTTACTGCGGCACCTTCTAGTCAAGATTTCACACCAACACTCACAATGGGAATTTGTCTGTGGTTTCCTTTTTCTGGTGCTTTTGGTAGATTTCAGCATCAAACATTATGCTGTCTTCATCAATCATTTTTCAAGCTCTTCTTTTTATTTTCTAAACTGAATGTTTCAGATGATGGTTATATTTTCCCTAAGGGTCTCTTAGATAGACTCACAAAACTGTTTCAGGCTGCGACCTCTTTTCTTGGGAGAGGCATCCACAGGCGATTTCCTGCAATTTGCTGGCAGAAATGGTCTGTTCAGATGCTCTCTCTCATGGTGTCAGCTGTGCCACTTTAGATTCGCCTTCATCCAGGTTTTCAAATTAATTAGAGGGTTGAGGAAAGCAGATGCATATGATTGGTTTTTTCCTTATATATTTTTGGGTTTTTATGTTTTCAATCATTTGTCCTGACGATTTTTATATTTTACTGGTTTTCTAAAGAGGCACATATTTGATTTATTTGCATCAGATCTGTTTTATAATCATTTATTCCCACTTTTATCTTTAGAAGCAGAAGTCACTATATGTGAGTTATTTTGGTTTTCATTAGATTCACTTTGTTCTTGTTCTACTACCTTGATCTTATTTAATTACTTATCAATTAATGTGCATAGCTATGGCCACATGTGACTTACTAACAATCCTCTTCTTGAAACTCTGAGAACTGAAAGCAGGAAGAGGTCACACAACAGGCCACAGAATAAACTTTGACCCTCTCACATGAGGCTCATTCCCCTCCAATATTCTTTTATTTTTGTTTGTTTGTTTTTGTTCCAGGGATTGAACCCTGGGGCACTTAACCACTGAGCCACATCCCCAGCCCTTTATGATTTTTATTTTGAGTCAGGGTCTCACTAAGTTACTTAGGGCCTTGCTAAGTTGCTAAGGCTAGTTTTGAATTGCAATCCTCCTGCATCAGCCTCCCAAGTTGCTGGTTATGGGCAAACACCACTTCATTCATATATATATATATATATATATATATATATTTTTTTTAGTTGTTGATATACCTTTATTTGCTTTATTTATACGCGGTGCTGAGAACTGAACCCAGTGCCTCACACATGCCAGGCAAGTGTACTACCACTGAGCCCCATGTCTTTGTGTCTTTTATCTAAGTTTCTAAACCAGAAAAACCGCTCTAACACAAAGTGAGGAAATAAAAAGTTTTCTGAAGAAAACAGCCCCAAATGCCAGTCAGTACAAGGGGAAAAGATGGGACACATGGGAAGAGTTAACACTCGTGAACTAATTTCTCCATCTTCCTTAGGAGTACCAAGGGAAATATTCTGAATTTCAGGTGGATAAAGTTGAAAATACAGATAAAAAATATATAGACAAAGAAGTAACAACTTATAGAACTAAAAATATTTCCAATCAAGAGGTAGTGTGGGATGAAGTCAAATAAGAAAAAAAAAAAAACAAACATAATAAACAAAATAAGAATAATAAAAGAAACATCAAAGAGAAAAATAATTACAGGCGGAAGAAAGACTATAGCTATTATACATGTTAACATAATAAATCATCTTTTAAAAAAAATATTTTAAAAATTAAAAAAAAAAACATGAATTTGTCAAAGAATTCAGAAATGTTTAAGGGCAGGGGTAAGTATAACAACATGAGCACGACTAGGAAAGCATCAATAAACATAAGTCCAGAAAGAGATCCTGGCGCATACAGAGCATCAGTGGGGAAGAGAAGAGCTCTTAAAACATGGGATCAGAGGCTGGGGATGTGGCTCAGTTGGTAGGGTGCCTGCCTCGCATGCACAAGGCCCTGGGTTCAATTTCCAGCACCACACACACACACACACACACACACACACACACACAAAAGTGGCACTAGAAGTGTCAACTTGAGAGGGAGTGAGGGGATTTTCCAACACACACCGGCGAAGACACTCGAGGATAGACTCAGCCTCTCACCACCCAGCACTCACCTGGGCACAGGCCCCTGACTACTTCTCCTGGCATCGTCCAGGGCTCCTTCTCCTGCTCCAGTAAGTGGACCACATCTGGTTTAGAAATGCAGAGACCTGCATATGAGACATGAAATCGGCCACGCTGTGGAGAGTCGAGAGTACGACCCTGGACCAACGGTCCTGAAGAAGAGGGACAGTGAGGGAAAGGCGACAGAGGCAGGCCCGGCTGCTGGGCAGGGAGCAGGAGAGCACGGTACTCACCCACGGAGACCAGGCTCCGGTAGGTCTCCAGCATCACCTTCCTGTACAGGCTCCTCTGAGCAGGGCTCAGCCACTCCCACTCCTCCTGGGAGAAGTCTATGGCCACGTCTGTGAAAGTCACAAACACGGTCCTGCTCAGTCAGTGCTCACCACACCAGGTGTTCTCTGGGAAACGGGCGTCCTGTTCCCACAGGGGGTAAGTCTCTGTACCCAGGTTCTAAATGACCCCGTCAGGAAGTTACTGGACGATTCTTCCGCCTACTCATATTGTATCTGCTGGGGAAGGATGAGCAGAGACAGCAAGACAGCCCCGAGGCCAAGCCACCCAGGTCCAGGATGGAGAGACATAAGACAGCCCCGAGGCCAAGCCACCGAGGTCCAGGATGGACAGACAGCAAGACAACCCCAAGTCCAGGCCACCCAGGTCCAGGATGGAGAGACAGCAAGACAGCCCCGAGGCCAAGCCACCCAGGTCCAGGATGGAGAGACACAAGACAGCCCCGAGTCCAGGCCACCCAGGTCCAGGATGGAGAGACAGCAAGACAGCTCCAAGTCCAGGCCACCCAGGTCCAGGATGGAGAGACAGCAAGACAGCCCCGAGTCCAGGCCACCCAGGTCCAGGATGGAGAGACAGCAAGACAACCCCGAGGCCAAGCCACCCAGGTCCAGGTTGGACAGACAGCAAGACAACCCCAAGTCCAGGCCACCCAGGTCCAGGATGGAGAGACAGCAAGACAACCCCGAGGCCAAGCCACCCAGGTCCAGGATGGACAGACAGCAAGACAACCCCAAGTCCAGGCCACCCAGGTCCAGGATGGAGAGACAGCAAGACAGCCCCGAGGCCAAGCCACCCAGGTCCAGGATGGAGAGACACAAGACAGCCCCGAGTCCAGGCCACCCAGGTCCAGGATGGAGAGACAGCAAGACAGCTCCAAGTCCAGGATGGAGAGACAGCAAGACAGCTCCAAGTCCAGGATGGAGCGACAGCAAGACAACCCCAAGTCCAGGCCACCCAGGTCCAGGATGGAGAGACAGCAAGACAACCCCAAGTCCAGGCCACCCAGGTCCAGGTTGGAGCTACAGCAAGACAGCCCCGAGTCCAGGCCACCCAGGTCCAGGATGGAGAGACAGCAAGACAACCCCAAGTCCAGGCCACCAAGGTCCAGGTTGGAGCTACAGCAAGACAGCCCCAAGTCCAGTCCACCCAGGTCCAGGTTGGAGCTACAGCAAGACAGCCCCAAGTCCAGGCCACCCAGGTCCAGGATGGAGAGACAGCAAGACAACCCCGAGTCCAGGCCAGCAAGGTCCAGGATGGAGAGACACAAGACAGCCCCGAGTCCAGGCCACCCAGGTCCAGGTTGGAGCTACAGCAAGACAGCCCCGAGTCCTGTCGAGGAAGCCTCGCCTATTAGTTGTGTTTCTGACCACTGAAGCACTTCTCAGGGCTCAGGAGAACAGTTGACTGTGTTTCCACTTAGACCCCTTCCACCGCACATCCTCACTCCTCAGGTTCCAAAGTCCCTCTGGTAGAGGATCTGTTTGAACAATTCTTTTAGAATTCTAACAATAGATTCTCTTAGATTTCCTTCATTTGAGAAAGCATTCCACGCTCAGTCCTGGAGGCTACTCTTAGGACCTGAGATTCTGGGTTGACAGTCTTCTGAGAACCTGTAAAAACCTGCACCCTGCCACGCGGCTTCCATGCTTCTGAGAAGTCAGAGTCACTCCAATCACTTCTGACCTGCATGTTACGCACTGTGCTTCTCTAGCTGTTTTCTGAGATTTCTTTTTGTCTTTAGTTTTCAGCAGTTTTTTCTGAAGCTCCCAGGCAGGGATTTCTTTGAGTTTACCATGTTGGGGTTTGTTGACTTCAATGGTCCACAGGTTTATAAGTTTCACCAAAGTGAGACATTTTCAGCCACTGTTTCTTCAAATATTTGTACCTCCACTCCACTTGCTTCATCCTTTTGGGATCCTAATGGTACCCGTCAGACTTCTGGTACCATCCCACAGGGCTCTGAGGCTCCGTGCCCCTTCTTCCTCCGTTGTTCACATTAGACAACTCCTGTTCATCTTCAAGGTCACCAACTCTCTTCTCTGTCACCTCCATCCTCCCTTTAAGCCCACCCAGTAAGTCTAATTTTGATTAGCACATTTTTCATTTCTTATTTACATTTTCCATTTCTCTCCTGAGATGTTTCATCTTTCCATTTTATAATAGGTGCTTTAAAGTATTTATCAGATCACACTGATGTATCTGCTGTCTCTTCCTTTTTGAATTAAGATGGGATTACCCCTGTCTTTTGGTAAGCTGAATAATTTTAGATGGGAGGCTAGACATTTTGGATATTATGGTTTTTTGTTTTTTTATAACTTTATTTATTTATTTATCCATTCATTCATTTACTTATTTGTGGTACAAACCCAGAACCTCATAGGTGCAAGGCAAGGGCTCTGAAACTGAGCCACAGCCCCAGCCTTTGGATATGATGTTATGAGACTTTTTTTTTTTTTTTTTAAGTACTGTGAAGAATGTTGACATTTTGTTTTGGCTACAAGTTCCAACCAACCTTCTCTAGGTTTGTGTTTCAACATAAGTTCAACTTACACATACAAGTGTCATGTGCACAAAGAACTTAGTTCTTCAACAATAATCAAATGATGCCTTCTTTAGGTAATGTTCATAGTATTTACCATATACCAAGTACTTTTATAAGCACTTAAAACATATTAACTCGTTAATCCTCACAACAACCCTATAATCAGATACAATTACTATTTCCATTTTTGCGGGGACAAGTGCATGGAGGACTGCATACATGGCATATTAAGGTGTTTGAGTGGCAGGCCACTCCCCTCCTGCTAGGTGTCTGAGCAGCAAACTGCTTACCTTGTAGGCACAGACCTGTGTGTGAGGCCATGTGTTGCAGTCCCTGTGCTTGCTCCATGGCCCACTCCTCAATTGGTCACTGCAAAGACAGCAGAAATTGCATGGGTGGCTGCCTGTAATTTGCTTAGCTACTTCCCGAATATATGTGCATGGTAACTGTGCAATAAAATCAGACCTGCTTCCTGCTTGGTCTCTGGAGGTCTTGATTAGCAACTTTGCAACCACACTCTCCTCTACCCTGTTCTGTGGACCTTCTCGCTGGACAAGAGAGAGCCCACGCACATTGTATACTTGAGAAGACTGAAATTAAACAACTGAAATTAATGCGACATACTTAGCATTTAGTGCAGTTAGAATTCATACCCAGGCAGTCTGGTTCCAGAGTCCACATTACAAACCTTTATGCCACTCTTAAAATGTTTTTCCCTGGGTCGGTTGATAGGGTGCTTGCCTTGCATGCACAAGGCCCTGGGTTCAATCCCCAGCACCACAAAAACTAAATTTATTTTTCCCTGATAATGAACAACAATGTTGTTTAAAATATTTAGCTGGGCACAGTGGCACACCCCTATAATCCCTGTGATTCAGGAGGCTGAGGCAGGAGTATCACAAATTTGAGGCCAGCCTCAAAAATTTAGCAAGACTCTGACTCAGAATAAAAACTAAAAAATGGCTGGAATATGGCTCACTGGTAAGAGTGTCCCTGGGTTCAATCCCTAGTACTGCTAAATAAATAAATAAAGGAAGGAAGAAAGGAATTAAAGAAAGAAATATGGATGTATTTAAATGCTCCAAGGAACAAGTCCCAATGGCAGTGTACCTTTTGGGGCATTGTACCTAAGAAAAACTGTCATGCTATTACCATGAGTCACTCATTATGTCTTTGCTATAAAATAAAAACAATGGAGGACTGAGGATATAGCTCAGTTGGTAGAGTGCTTGCCTTCCATGCACAAGGTCCTGGGTTCAATCCTCAGCACCCCCCACACACACACACACAAATACATAAATAAAATAAAATAAAAATAATTGAACGATTCCAAATTATTTTTATTTGATTGATTTTCTAAGTTTATAAATTTGATGATTTCTTATAATAATCAATTTGCTTAAAATTAAACCAGAGAAACCAAAAGGAAAAGACAGTGAGAAAGATCAAGATGCAAGAACACTTTTGACCAAAAATCTCCCTTACAAAGTCACTCAGATTGAATCAAAAGAAGTGTTTCAAGAGGCCATGAGGATAGGATCAGTCAGCAAGGATGGGGAAAGGAGAGGGACTGCTCACATGGAATTTAACAGAAGGTAATGCAGAAAAAACCTTGAAAGCCAAGCAGGGGACAGCGATGGACAGGCAATTTGCTTCCCTCTACTAAACTGGAAGAGAAAGATCAAAATTAAGACTACAGAGATGGAAAGAACACCACCTGGAGTGGTGATCAAAACTCTGGTTTTAAGCAACCTCTTTTACTCTGCAACAGAAGAAACTCTTCAGGAAGTGTTTGAGAAGGCAACTTTTATCAAAGTACCCCAGAACCAAAACGGCAAATCTAAAGTGTATGCATTTGTAGAGTTTGCTTCATTTGAAGATGCAACAGAAGCTTTAAATTCTTGTAATAAAAGGGAAATTGAGGGTACTGTAATCAGGCTGGAGTTGCAAGGACCAGGGAATGGCCTAATGCAGGAAGCCAGACATTGAAAATGCTGTCAAAGGTTGGCCTGAGGATACCACCCAAGAAGCCTTAAAGGAATCATTTGACTGCTCTATTCCTGCAAGGATAGTCAATGACCAGGAAACTGGGTCCTCCAAAGAGTTTGGTTTTGTAGACTTCAACAGTGAAGAGGATGCCAAAGCCGCCAACGAGGCTGTAGAAGATGGGAAATTGATGGACACAGTTACCTTGGACTGGGCCATGCCTAGAGGGAAAGGTGGCCTTGGGGGTCATGGTAGAAGCAGAAGAGGCTTCTGAGGCAGGGTTGGTGGCCAAGGAGACAGGGGGAGGAGGAGACCACAAGCCACAAGGAAAGAAGACAGAGTTTGAACAGTTTCTTCTGTCCCTCTTCCATTTGAAAGAAAGGACTCTGGGGTTTTTAACTCTGAATGACAGAGCCCTCTGAGGACCTTCTAAGACAGTGCACAGTCCTATGGTCTGCTTGGAAATCCACACAGATGACATTTCAAAAGGAGGTACCCTGTTGGATATGACAGGATGTTCACATGAACTTTTTAAAGAGATGACTGATACAGCTTACCCTTATCTGTAAGTTTTGAATTTATATTGTTTCATCTCACACACAAAACTGTTTTTTTCCCTACAAATAGTTTTTTGTTTTATTTTTGTATTAGGAGGTTGTAAAGGAAAGCAAAATGTTTTATGATTTTTGCTCCAGTGACATTAGAACAAATTGAAAGTCCTAATCTCTGGTGCCAGACTTGTAAAAATAATAATAATAATCAATTTGCTGATGGAACTATCAGTTTATTCAGAATATAAATTAAGTTTAATTTATATTAAACTTAAGTTTAAGCTTCTACTACTGGTCATAAAAATGTTAATAATAAAAATAATATGAAAGTAAAGTAAGTTTAAGAACTCTAATCTACAAACAATAAAAAACTAGAAATTTAGTCAAAGAAAACAATCAGAAATGAGAGCAAAAATTCAACCACAAGAGTAATCACTGTAACACAATTAAACAGCAAAACGCTGACCATAATTTACCAATGGAACAACAACTGGCTGATTATAGATTGTGGTGTTTACCCTAGAGAGAAAGGAGGATGTAGAGTTTTCCCTGGCATTTTAAGATGACCCAGGCTGCACAGTCAGGTGGGAGGGGAACCTGCATCCCACCTGTGACTGTAGATCTCCTCTGCTGCCTTCAAGATGAGACTCAGGAACCCTTCCTCTGCCACATACTCCCAACCCTTCCCCTCTGGGCATGAGCAGGACCGCAAGTCACATCCCACACAAGGATCCCTCTGCAGAGGTAAGAGCTAGAGTGAGAAGAGCCCTCTTGACAGAGGGTGTGGTCCTCACCAGTCCAGGAAGGGGCCCCTTTCCTCCCATTCCCCCTGGAAGCACCGTGGGGGTATCAGCGGCCCTCCCACCACTCCACAACATTATCACGTCATATGTGTCTGCTGCCTTTCCATTTCTCTAAGAAACTACAAGTTCTTGGGGAGCCACAACAGAGACTTAGGAGCCCGGCACAGTGGCTCTTAAAAATTTCCTTAGGACTGTTCTTCTGCTTCGTCGGATGCCTAAAGAAAGACTAAGTACAAAGAAAGGGCTTACACTTGGTCATTTCTTGAATGGAAAACATAAACACCAAGGAGGAAGAAGAGGAAGAACCTCTGAGAGTCCACTGGACTCTTTGAGTCTACCCCTGAAGTCTCAGCATTCACCAGAAATGCAAGAAATGGGAAACAGGCCCCAAGGTGAAACTGTTTTTTTTTTTTTGTTTGTTTGTTTGTTTGTTTTTGATAGGGCCTCACTAAGTTGCTCAAGCTGCTCTTGAACTTGCATTCCTCCTGCCTCAGCCTCCTAGTTGCTGGGATTATAGGTATGCACCACCATGCCTGCCTGGAACTCTTAAATAGACAAGTTTCAGAAAAAAGCAAACTGAACAAAATCAGGAAAAGTGAGACTTTAGTGGGGAGAAAGGGAACATTAACTCACCGGGCACATGGCTTTAACAAGTTCAGTTCTTGTCACCTCCACTTCTTGCTGGCTCTTTATTTGGAAAAGGGCCTTGCCTCAAGCACAGAGCTGAAAGAGGAGAGAGTTGTGAGAGACCAAGTAGCACTAGGAATCACAGCGTAGAAACCTTCCCTTACCTTCAGCCGCATTTGCTTTTGCCCCCATCCCCACTCCATCTCCACAGACCAGATACCCACAGGGGAATTTGTAGCCTACAACTAGGGTTCCCCTCTGCTCTGGGTTTTCAGGTTGAACACAGCCAGTCCCTCTTCGTGCCTCTCTCTCTCAGCCACCTATTCACTAACAGAGATTTATGAGGTATGCTACATATATTAATCATCTCTTTTAATCTCCACAATCATCAAAGTAGAGGATATTGTCACCATTTTACAAAGGAAGTCTCTGGGCAAGTGAGAGCTTTTATGTAGTTACACAGCTCATAATTAGTAAGAATCAGTCAACAACCTAAGTCTTCCTGACTCTACCACACAAATTAATTGCTTGACACCAGAAAATATGCCCTCTTGCAAGAAACCAGGATTTGTCCAGATTCTACATGATGAATCCCTTGGAGAATGCCACTGTTCCCAGAGAGAGGCCTTACCTTTGATGTGACAAAACATCCTTGAGTGCAGAAAACTGTTCCAACAAAACTGTCATGAGACCTAAGTTCTCGTTTTGCTTTTGAGGCAAACTGCAGCTTTGATGAAGTTCCTCGATAACCTTAGCCATTCTTTTAATCAGGAAGAGGACAGTATCTAAATGAATTCTGGCTTCTTTCCCCAAAATTTAATTGCCTTCTAAAAGGATATTATAATGATGATAATAAGAATGAACTCTTACTTAGAACCATAAAGTTTAATAAATCTCCAAACTCACTTAGTGGAAGTTTGAAGATCTGAACTCTTAAAAATTATTTCCAGTCTCAATTGTTTCTGCAGTTGTCAAAAGTGGCTGGGAATACCTACTGCAGACAGTTACTGAGGGACAGTACAGAAGGGGCTCTGGAGGGCTGGGAGTGGAGCTCAGTGGAGGAGCCTGTGCTAGCATATGCAAGGCCCTGGGTTCAAACCCCAGCACCCCAGAGGAAAGAAAAAAAATCCTAGAAGGGGCTCTGGAGTCAGCCTGTCCTGGATCTGAATCCTGGTTCTTCAACTTATTAGTGATTACTTATCTTCTCATCCTCATCTGTAAGGACAGGTGGTCCCCACTTTATAAAGTCGTGCCTTTGCTGTTAACACTCCCAGAGGTCTTCAACAAGGTCTGGCACAGAGGCACTCATCAAAGGTGAGCCATTCTAACCCCGCGGCGGAAAGCAAGCAAAGAACAAGGGCTAGGTGGCTAGGGGCAGCAATTTGTCCCCCTCTTTAATGACCTGGAGACAGTGACAGAGGAAGTCTGAAGGATGGGAATAGTCTCTGGCACTGACTCGAACGTGACTACGCCACGGACGAGACGGAATCGCTCCGCATTTCGAGGTGAAGTGCGAACCCTGCGTCCCTCCGCAGACCAATTCCCTGGTGGACGGGACAAGGACCCCGGAAGGAAAATCCTAAGGGCTGACAGGGTGGCGCTAGAGCAGCCGAGGACCCGGAGGACGCCGGTAACGGGGAGCATTCTCGTGTTGGCGCCCTGGGCCCACGACCTGAACTGGGGGGCACACCTGGTGAGGTGACGCTGCGAGTCACGCTCCCCTTCTGAACTCGCTCCACGCTCTGCACCAAGGTGACCCACCAACCCCGCGGACTCCGGCATCCACCAGCCCTGGGGACCAGGGACAGCCTCCTCCAGTACTCGGACCCCAAAGGACAGCACCCAGGCCTCCATTTCCACTCTTTCGGGCGCACCCAACCCACCGTCTCTCAGCTCCGGCGAGTTCCCAGGGTCTCCGCGGCGTGGGGGCGCGTCCTGCGCCGCCCCTCCGTCAGGCGGGCGAGCCCGAAAGGCCGGAAAGGCCGCGGCCGCAACCCCTCGCGACGCCTTCCAGGGCCCCAGGCTCCGGCCCACAGGGACTACGCAGGGCACCCGGGGCGACCCCTCCGGGAGCCCCGCCGACAGCTCCCACCTCCCGCTCGGGCCCTCCCCACGGCCCGGACAGGCCACCGCGCCAGACTCGCTCAGCCCCCGGACCCGAGACTTCCAGTCGCGGCCGGAAGTGCGTGTGTCCTGCCGCTTGGAGCCCTGGGAAGTGTGGTCTCGGAGGAGGCGGCCGGAAGTGGGGAAGCCGGGCGCCTGTGTGCTGCGCGCCGGGTGGGCCGGATGGAGGGGCTGCGCTTCTCAGGCCGGGGCCAGGACACAGGCGCTCGCGGGATCTCCGCCCGACCGGCGGGGAGCTGGACCCCTGGGCTGCGCGCCTGACTTCCGGGCGCCCGCCAGCACTGAGATTTCCTGGTGGGCGATTGATTTCCTGCCCACCAGCCCTGTGCTCGGACGGGGTCCGCGGGCGGAGGACGACCCGGCACTGCCCGGCCTCCCAGCGAGCGCCCCGAGGCACGGGCTGCCTTCCCCGGCCGGGCCCGCTGCGCAGCCCGCTCGTCGCTAGCGCGGCGTCAGCAGGCGGAGCGGGACGGGTGTTGAGCGCCCTGCGGCGGGGCCTGGGAGCCGCACCGCCGGCCGAGACCCCTGCCGGCGTCCCCGACCTCTGCCTGGCCACGGCTCGGCCGAGCTGGCCGAGAGGTCGACCCGAGGACACCGCCCTCAGCCTGACCTGAGGCCGCGGCGAGGGTAGCTGCGCGCCCTGGGTTCCCAACCATCGCTGCCGCCCGATGGTCACACCGGTCACACCGCTCGGCCGCCCTCCCCCTGCAGTGGGCATTCCTTTCCATCCAGGCAGCAGATGCAGAGGTGAGGGGTTGCCCCTCTGATCCAGAGTTCAGAAAGACCCCAGCTTACCTCGGGGCCCCCTCCTCCTGCCCACCTCTCCTCCTGCCCATCTCTTGCAAGGACACCATTTACCATGTTAGGAGCTGCCCTGTAAAGGGTCGCACATGGAAAGGAACCGTCCAACCCAAAGCCAGAGGGAACTGAGGCCCGCCAACAGTTAGGGAGTTTGGAAGCCGATTCTCCTCTAATGAAGCCTTCAGATAACTGGGTCCCTGGCCGACAGCATGACCACAGCTTTGGAAAAGACCCGGGACTCGAGGTTCCCAGCTCAGCTCTGCCTGGATTCCCTAGGGGGAGAACTGGGATGGTCAACAGCTGTCTCTCTGAGCCACTCAGAGGTAATCTCTTAGGAACAGTAGATAACACCGTCACAGCTCTTCTTCTATGACTTGGTGAATTAAAATAGAAAGTCAGTTGTCAAACACCATATTGATTAGAATTACAGTAACTGCTATTACAATTGAAGCCCAAATATCAATACCTTACCACAATATAAGTTTTTTCTCATAATAATCCATTGCTGGTGGTCTTAGGTGAGCAACCGCTCTCCTCCAAATTTTGGTTTAGAGACCCGGAGGTCTCCCATCTTTCAGCTTTGTCATTATATAAGATAGATTGTTCTCCCAGTGGGACAGAACATTCCTGTCTTCAGTAACCAGGTCACTTCTATTCCCAGGAAAGAAAGTTTATAGCCACACCTAGAAGCAAGTGTGGGCAGGGAACAGGATATGCCAGGCAGTCACAACCCGGAGCCAACTCCGGACAACAGAAAAGGAAGCACAGACTTGTGATCCTCTAGTCACATCATAGATACCCTTAGCAAAACCCACCTGTGACCTGGGGACCTCCATGCATCTGGTGTCAGGTACCCTCCAGTAAGGACTGCTCCACAAGCCCTCCCCAAGTGCCAAGCCCCCGGCCAGTGACTCCTGAGCACGGGTGAGACCGAGTGCCCTGCCCTGGAGTAGTCATGTTCTCCTGCTGGGTTGGAACCCAGTGCCTCACACATGCTCAATGGAGGGCAAATACCAGATTTATCATGACCACTCCACCATCTTCTTGCAGTTACCTGCCACCCTGTCATCCAGCTGCTGACTCAAAAGCAGCGTCTCACAGGAAGGGGAGACTCCATGTCCGAGGAGGAGACTGTGCCTCACATGCTGGTGCTCCTCAGCCCCAGGATGGACGGGGAGGCTGCTGGCCTCGCTGCAACTGACATTCAGGGCTGACATGGCCCCTCCAGCCTGGTAAAGCCTTCAAGTCCCTCAGGTCCTTGATATTGTGCAGAGTAATTTATAACTTTAAATACACTTTGAGAAATGATCCTACATTTCTGATGGTATGACTGGTAAAGGATAGTAAATAAGGATAGTAGATATATCTGGATATTAATTTTTTTCTGTATTCCACATTATAGGTCATATTGAATTCTGGTTTTGGGCTACCATCCCAGCAATATTGTTGAGGGACAATTAAGTTTTCAGTCAAAACGGGAGAAGGTAAGAATTAACTAGTAGGTTTCTTAAGGATGGGGAGGGTCAAAGTTTTCTAAGATCCTCGAGTCATTTTTTTTAATACCTTTTAGTTGTAGATGGACATAATACCTTTACTTACTCATCTTTGTGTGGTGCTGAGGATGGAACCCAGGGCCCCACACATGCTAGGTGAGCACTCTGCCACTGAGCTACACCCCAGCCCCTGAAGTCGTTCTTGATAGCCTTATTGCATGACATAATGGAGATGGCACTGGGAATCCATCATCATAGCTCAGCAGCCAAAGGCACCTGCTGACTGGTCTGGTTTTCAGAGGGAAGCCATGGTTGGAAACAGAGACGTTTCCCAGCATAGACATAAAGGTCTGGCTTCAGTTTCTTATGGTCAGAATTTCAAGCAGCCTTGAGCTGTGACTTTTAATTATATGATTTCATTATAAAACAAGTTATCACAACAATTTTGGAAGTAGCATCCCTCACATCACTTTCAGTTTTGGGTAGGTGCCTTTCAGTCCCTAATGCACAATGAACTTATGATCCTGCTCTGTAGAAATATCCTTTCCCACTCATGCATGGTAGCACATGCATGAATCCCGGGGACTAAGGAGACAGAGACTGAAGGATCGCAAGTTCAAGACCAGCTGGGCAACTTAGTGAGACCCTTAGTGACTTAGCAAGACCCTGTCTCAAAACACAAAGGCCTGGGGATGCAGCTGTGTATTCCAGCTACTCAGGGCTGAGACAGGAGGATCACAAGTTCAGGACCAATTTCTGTCTCTTGATCTACACTCTGCTTCTTTATAGCCTGATAATCATTCTCTATTATCAGCTTCTGTATTATCTAGCTTTCTTTGAGAACAATAGAACCTGAATTTAATGTAAAGTTAGAAATTAAATATTAGAAGAATACAAATGGCTTAAAGATTTAAAGAAGTAAAAAACCAGGGTGTGAGAAGGCAGGGCCCCAGTGACAAATGCTGGGACCTTCAGGTGCTGCCAACGGGTGCCTGAGTCCAAGCCCTTGCAGCCCAGGAGTGACACCTACACAGTAAGAGCTGGCACAGTGGGCGTCCGAGCCAGTGGCCGTGACTCCTGGCTGATGGCAGGCACTCCTGTGGACCGGCAGTTCATGAGGAGTCATGCTGGGCCCCGCTCCGTCCCTTCTCCAGTGAAACAATGAGACGTCTGGTTGGCTTGGCCGCAGGTGTGTGTGACTGCCGCTCACCAGAACAGGAACACTGAAGAGGAGGAGGCCTCGGAAAAGCCTGCGCGGAGGCTGAGGACCCAAGTTCCAGGCCAGCATCAACAACTTAGGGATACCTTGTCTCAAAACAAAAGGGCTGGAAACATCATAGTTCAGTGCGAAAGCTTCCATGGATTAAATTTCCAGTACCAAAAAGGAAAAAGCTAGGGAAAAAAATGTGTTGAAGAAAAAACAGACCAGCATGTAACTGAACGTGGTATGTGCACACATACATGCTCACATGTATCTGTGTGCTCGATATCCCTGTTGGCTCTGACTATAAGATCAGTACATATGTGAGGTTCTGCAAATGACATTTCATGTAGTAACTGGGGACAGCTCTTTACAGAAGTGTACATGGAGCTTAAACCCTTCCTACCAACTGTAAACTTCAGTATTATATTAAATATCAACTTAATCAGTATGCCCCCCCAGGACCCAGAAATCCTATTGTCATGATTTTTAAGATTCTGCAATAAACATTACATGTATTCCAATGAGACAAAGTTCCTAGACCTGGAATGACTCTCAAAAGAAGCACACACTTACAATGTTGATAGGTCATGCCACATTGCTGTCTAAAAGGCAGGATACAGATTTACACTGTTAGTGACAAACAGGACCTGTTTTCACATACTGACACCAGGATGGGATGTCATTCAAACTTTAGATTTTAATCCAAGAGTCAAGAAAAATTATTTTCATAATTTTTAATTATTCCCTGTTTAATGAGGGAAGAGCATCACAAAGTTTCTTAATTCACTTGAATGTAGCAGCTGTGACATACATTCTGGTATGTGCCATAAAGATCCCCCGTGACTTTTCATATTTAATGGTATTTTTCCTAAGTGGCATATTTTTAAATGAATTGTGTATATTTTCTGCCATTTGTTTTTTACATGTTTCTGGTGACTTTCACCATGATGGAGTTCTAAATCATTGCACAAGTCAACTATTCTTTTCCTTTACAGCTTCTAGGATGACCTGTGAAGACATCCTCTTTCCTGTATGTCTTCCAGGACTACGCATCCTACTTGTTGAAGGGTCCTCTTCGTGTGTCTTCCAGGACTGTGCGTCCTACATGGTGAAGGGTCCTCTTTCCTGTATGTCTTCCAGGACTACACGTCCTACATGGTGAAGGGTCCTCTTCCTGTGTGTCTTCCAGGACTACGCGTCCTACTTGGTGAAGGGTCCTCTTCCTTTGTGTCTTCTAGGACTACGTGTCCTACTTGGTGAAGGGTCCTCTTCCTGTGTCTTCCAAGACTGTGTGTCCTACTTGGTGAAGGGTCCTCTTCCTGTGTCTTCCAGGACTGTGTGTCCTGCTTGGTGAAGAGTCCTCTTCCTGTGTGTCTTCTAGGACTGTGTTCCTACATGATGACGGGTCCTCTTCCTGTGTGTCTTCCAGGATTGTGTGTCCTACTTGGTGAAGGATCCTCTTCCTGTGTGTCTTCCAGGACTCTGCGTCCTACTTGGTGAAGGGTCCTCTTCCTGTGTGTCTTCTAGGACTGTGTGTCCTGCTTGGTAAAGGGTCCTCTTCCTGGATGTCTTCCAGGACTACGTGTCCTTCTTGATGAAAGGCATCCTCTTATTGTGTGTCTTCCAGGACTGTGTGTCCTACATGGTGAAGGGTCCTCCTCCTGTGTGTCTTCTAGGACTACGCGTCCTGCTTGGTGAAGAGTCCTCTTCCTGTGTGTCTTCTAGGACTGTGTTCCTACATGATGACGGGTCCTCTTCCTGTGTGTCTTCCAGGACTCTGCGTCCTACTTGGTGAAGGGTCCTCTTCCTGTGTGTCTTCTAGGACTGTGTGTCCTGCTTGGTGAAGGGTCCTCTTCCTGGATGTCTTCCAGGACTGCGTGTGCTACATGGTGAAAGGTTCTCTTCCTGTGTGTCTTCCAGGACTACATGTCCTACATGGTGAAGGGTCCTCTTCCTGTGTGTCTTCTAGGACTCTGCGTCCTGCTTGGTGAAGGGTCCTCTTCCTGTGTCTTCCAGGACTGCGTGTGCTACATGGTGAAAGGTTCTCTTCCTGTGTGTCTTCCAGGACTACATGTCCTACATGGTGAAGGGTCCTCTTCCTGTGTCTTCCAGGACTGCGTGTCCTACATGGTGAAGGGTCCTCTTCCTGTGTGCCTTCTAGATCTATATGCCCTACTTGGTGAAGATGTGCATTTCTTTTTGGTTCCTCCTACATATGATTTCATATGAGAGATGTTAAGTACTACTGCCTCACATTTATCTTAAGGAGTAAGCCTTCTTGGGGAAGGCATCTTCTGTCTCCCTGTGACAATGACCTTACAGAGATCTAAATACAACTCTTTCACATTTATCTTAAAGACTGTATGTCCTACATACTGAACGTACCCTTTCATGTATGCCTCTGACACAGAGTTTTATGGCAGCATCACCTACCAAATCTCATATGTAAAGAAAACTATCTCAGCCAATATCAACATACCAGTATCACATACTAAATTTCATATGCAAAGAAAACTCTTTCAAGTATATCTTGGTTTTTCTTGCCTAGTTGTGCTTCCTTGTGTTATTTCAGGACAACCATCAACAATCATTATAGTAAACATATCTACTGGAATTCCATTTGGGATATATAATTTACAATCATTTAAGTAGAATTGAATATTTCATCTATTTTTCCTTTTTATTGACATGTTCTATTTTTCATTATAATTTAGTAATTCATCTCTTCATAAACTGTTTTATAGTCAGTCTTTAAATTTCTGATGTAAGAGTTATATTACCTTACAAAATTTGATAATTTTGTAAATTTTCCTCCACTCCAGAGCAGTGGTCGGTAAATGTTCTATAAAAGAATGGTCAATGTGGTGGGCGTGGTGCTGCATGTCTGTGATCCCAGCAACTTAGGAGGCTATGACAGAAGGATCACAGGTTTGAGGCCAGCCTGGGCAACTTATCAAGGCCCTGTCTCAAAAAGACTGGGGATGTAGCTCATTGCTAAAGTGCCCTGGGTTCAATCCCCCAAACAAAAAACAAAACAAAACAAAAAAACAGTAACTATCATCAGTGTTGCAGCTACTCAACATCTGCCTCTGTTGTAAAAGCAGCCAGAGAAAGTAGGTGAACAAATGAGTATGGTCACTGTTTGGTAAGACTATTTACACAGGCTGCAGACAGGATTTTGCCCATGAGCCAAAGATTCCTCAGCAATCTGTACAGCAGGGATCACCAAATTTTTCTGCAAAGGTTCATGCAGCAGATTTCTTAGGGTCTGCAAACCAGATGGTCTTTGTTAGGGCTACTCAACTATGCTGTTGTAACAACGTGTGAATGAACGAGGGTGGCTATATGCAAACACGACTTTATTTACAGACACTGAAATTTAACATAATGATCATGTTGAAAACATTTTCATTTTTGAACCACTTATGAATATGTTTTAAAATTTTAGATCATGGGCAATACAAAAATCACCAGTGAGACCTTGGGCACAAGTCATGGATTGCTGACTCTTGCTACTAGATTGGTTTATCCAGAGTTAATGGTACCTTAAATGTTTAACAGAGTTCATTCACAAACCAAGTGACTTTAAATAGATGAAATCCTGCCGACTTTCTCATACTTGAGTAATGCATTAATAGTTTTAACTCTGCATACCAATCTTGCATTTTCTATTTAATTCATTTGTTCCAAATGGCCTATTCATTCATGTTCTCTACACTATCAAAGACTGTTGTCAAACATAAACTTGGATTTTGCCACCAAAAAGCTCAGATCACCTTACATTCGTGTAGATCAAAGGGAATGTCACAATACTTCTCAGCATCATGGAATCAAATTTTAAAGGAACACAGGCAGATTTCATTAGCTATCTGCAGAGCTCCACTCCTGGCCCACGATCGGCTTCTCCCTTCATCCCACTGCATCATTTTTACTAGAGATGACTACCATAACTTTTTCTTATTCTTTTTTCCCTCCCTCTGGTGCTAGGGATCAAACCCGGGGCCTCACGCCTGCTGGGGAAGGACTCAACCACTGAGCTACATCCCCAGCCCCTACAGTCACATTTCAATGTCCAGGGCCACCCTCAACAACTTAGTGAAAACCTACCAAAAACTAAGAAGGGTTGTACATGCGCTCAGTGGTAAAGCACCCTAGGTTCATTACCACAAGAAAAGAAAAGGAGCAAGTTTACTGAATGCTTGGTATGGACCAGCACTGTGCAGCACATCTTATGCATTAATCATTGAGAGGATCGCAATACAAGCTTTATACAAATGAATTAATTACATTTTCACTTAAAAATCAGTCTGACTTTGAAGAATGAACTTATAAGGGACAAAAACAAAGGGCAGACAGATGAGTTTTTAAGTGAAACGACGCAGCTGAAATGATATCCTGAGACTACGGCGATGGCAGTGAGGACGGACTCCAGAGGAATCTGGGGAAGAGGTCCACAGGACTGGTCGTGGAGGACTCTGCAGAGTGGCCCCGCGGAGGGTGGGCACAGTGTGCCGTGGGCCTGAAGCCTCTCCTGCTCTTCCTGCAGCCGTAGGGCCTCTCTCCAGAGTGAACTCTCTTGTGCTGGTTCAAGTGCCCGATTTGGATGAAGGTTTTCCTGCACTCCTTGCACTCGTAGGGTTTCTTCCCAGAGTGAATCCTCTGATGGACGCTGAGGGACTGCCGGTGGCTGAAAGCCTTGCCGCACGCACTGCACTCGTAAGGCTTCTCCCCGGTGTGACTTCTGCGGTGACAAATGAGGGAGGACTTGGTCTTGAAGGCCTTGCCACACTCCAGGCACTCGTAAGGCCTCTGGCCAGTGTGGAGCCTCTGGTGCTGGGTGCAGGAGGAGTTGTCCCCAAAGGCCTTCCCGCACTCCACGCACTTGTAGGGCTTCTCCCCGGTGTGCACGCGCTGGTGCTGCGCCAGGTGGGTGGTCTGGCTGAAGGCCTTGCCGCACTCCTTGCACTCGTAGGGCCGCTCCCCCGTGTGGGTCTTCTGGTGCTGCGCCAGGTGGGCCTTCTGGGTGAAGGCCTTGCCGCACACCTGGCACTCGTAGGGCTTCTCCCCCGTGTGGATCCTCTGGTGAGTGGCCAGCTGGGAGCTGATGCTGAAGGACTTCCCGCACTCGCCACATTCGAAGGGCTTCTCTCCAGTGTGGATCCGCAGGTGACTGGCCAGGTGGATGTTCTGCCTAAAGGCTTTCCCACATTCTTTGCACTTGAAAGGCTTCTCCCCAGAATGCACTCTCTGATGCTGTGTGAGGGACGCATGATGGCTGAAGGCTTTTCTGCAGACGTCACACTCGTACGGCTTTTCTCCAGTATGGATCCTCTGGTGCACAGTGAGGGAAGAGCCGTACCTGAAGGACTTGTGACACACGTCACATGTGTAGGGCTTCTCTCCGGTGTGGATCCTCCTGTGCTGGTTCAGCCCTATATGATCACTGAAGGCCTTCCCGCAGTCGGCGCAGTCGAAGGGCTTCTCCCCGGTGTGGTAGTACCTCCAGTGGCGGATGAGGGACGTGTTCTGTATGAAGGCCTTCCCACACTCGGTGCACTCATAGGGCCTCCTGCCCGTGTGACACCGCTGGTGTCGTGCAAAGGAGGAACCGTCACTGAAGGCCTTCCCACACTCGCTACACTTATAGGGCTTCTCTCCAGTATGAATTCTCTGATGAACAGTAAGGGATGAGCTCTGAGTAAAAGTTTTCTTACATTCATTACATTTGAACAGTTTTTTTCCTGCATAGATTCCTGCTTGTTTTATTACCACTGAAGTTTTCTGAAAACCTTTACCTGAATCACAACTATGGACTCTCTCTTCTGAACTATTCAAGTGGAACCATCTTCTAGGTTTGTTATACAAATGCTCTCTCTCCTTTGGGGGGGCTTGGTCATGAGTGACTGTCTCGTGATATGCCAGCTTCCCTTCACACACACACTCAGAAGCCCAATTTTCTCTGAAAGTGGAACCCTCAAGTTTGGCACTTGAAGTTCGATCTGTTACTCCATCAGCACATAAGTCCTGTTTTGGAAATAATTCTTGGGTCTCATGAACAGATTGCTGGCCTGAAATAAATCAAGAAAACAATTATTCTTTCTCAAGTGCAAGAAAAGAGAACTCTGGTAAAAGGAAAATTGGTGAACTAATTCACTAATTGGCGAACGAAACACAAATTCTGCAGCTCTAAAGCCATTACATTTAGACATGCAGTCTGCAAATATGTGACACTCCAGACTGAAGTCACACAGGGACCAGGAGGCAAGTTCAAAATAGTTAAGTATGCCTGAGCCAGTCGCACGGCAGAGAAGAGGCAGTGAGAGGCTGGATGTTCCTGCCTTGATCTCCCTCTCAGTCGCAACTGTCTACCTGCTTTGGACGCCACGTAGTGGTCATTCAGCATCACACTACCACATCACTAATGTGTCCAAAGGAACATGCAAAAGCACACAAAAGACCCTTTTTCTACGGCAATCATTAGGATTATTTGGAAGTCCAGTTATTTCTCTATAAGTAGAAAATGTGTCTTTATTAGCCTTATTTTATTCAGTGTATTTGGACACAGACACATTTGCAATGGACTGCTCAAACTCAGCCGTCACTGCACACTTTTGTGCTGTCTACAAGCCAGGAGAAAAAGAAAGGAAGGAGAAACCTCACATCCCTGGTCGTTTCTTAATGGTGCTTGCAATGCCACTTTTTTATAAGAAACTTTTTTCCAGATTTTTTGAGGTGTAGTTGACAAATGTGCATACTTAAGACATGTGGTGTGTTCTGACACACCTGTACACTGCGGCATGACTGCCACAGCAGTCAACGAGCACGCGTCACCTCACGCACTTACTGTGTGTGTGTGCAAACGCTCCAGACCGTCTTCCTGGTGACTCTCCCGCGTCCGTTGTCACTCATCACAGTCACCACTGGCACATCCGCCGGGCCTCTGGGGTGGCTCCCAGTGCACTGCAGTCTGCACACCCAGACCGACACCTCCCACCTCCCCGTCCCTGTCCCTGGCAGTCGGTCACTCTCAGCTCCTCTCCCGAGTCTGAACCCTCCTCCCATTTTGAACATGGTCCTTCCTCTTGGTTCCTCGCTTCTTTCTGTGCTGGAGTGTCAGTCTCATGAGACCCCACTTATTCCTGCTTCTGTCACCTGCACTTCAGTGTCACCTCCAGAGAGTCATGCCAAGACCGATGTCAAGGTGCCTTTTGCCTGTTCTAGCTGGCGCATGGATCTCATGTTGGAACTGATTTCTACACCTGGTGTCAGGACCTGATCTCTTTCTCCTCCTCTCAGTTCTGCGTGTTGAACCAAAGGACATTCGACCAAGAGGCACCGTCTCCAGCCCCTTGTTTTATTCATTCACTTCTGGACACTGGTGACTGGACCCAGGGGTGTGACCAGTGAGCTACATCCCCAGCCCTTTTTATCTGGAGACAGGGTCTTGCTAAGTTGATGAGGCTGGCCTCAAAACTGAAACCCCTCAAGCTCCTGGGTCACTGGGATCATGGGCATGCCCTGCACCTGACTCTTTTATCTATTTCTCTTTATGCATGTGACATTCAGTTTTCCAAAAACTATATATTGGAAACATCATACTTTGGCTTCTGTATATTCTTGGCCTCTGTCAAAGGCTGGTCGACCTTATAGGCATGGGTCTATTTCTGGGGTCTCTTTTTGCTCCTTTGGTCTATGTGCCTTATGTGCTTTAATTCCAAGACCATGCCATTTTGACTATCATAGCTTTGTAACAGAATTTAAAATCAGGAAATAGGATGTCTTCAGCCTTATCTTTTAGCTACTTGGGGTCTTTGGGGGTTCCATATGAATTTTCAGTTGCTTTTCCTATTTTTAGTAAAATGCCTTTGGAGTTTGGATTAGGCCACACTTGAGTCTAAGAGCACCTTGAACACGGGGACATTGGGCACCCCATCCGGCCAGCCTAGGCCTGGGGTGGCTTTCCCGTCCAGACCACCTTTGTCAAGCCCCCTCACTGGTGGTTCACAGTTTTCAGCGTACACACCTTTCACCTCTTGGCCTGAATTTGTCCCCAAGTGTTCCACTTCCTTTTTTGGTCACTATTGTAAGTGGGGTTTTCTCTTGAATTCTTCTTCAGGCGTTCACTGTCTATAGGACTGTCACTATTTTCCACGTCGGTTGTATATCCTGCTTCTTTTGCTCAGATCGGGTCTGGCCGGCTTCTGTCGTGTGCAGGGACCTTAGAGTTTCCTACGTACAGGGGCATGTCATCTGCGACGGAGACACGAACTTCTTTAAACTCACAGCCATGTACTCCTTTTCTTGACTCACAGTCTGGCTAGGACGTCCAGTGCCGTGTGAAGTGAGAGTGGGCAGCCTAGTCTTGTTCCTGGCCTTCAGGGACAAGTGTCCCACTCCTGCACTGACGACAGTGTAAGCTGTGGGTTGTCACAACAGCTTTGATTTTGTTGAGGTAGATCTCATTTGTTGAGAGTTTTTATGAAAGAATATTGATTTTGTCAAATGCTTTTCTTGCATCTATTGAGATGTTAATTTCTTTTTTGAAAAGACTGTTTTATAGTAATACCAAATACTAATATTATATTTAATTACACTCATATACACTATTGAGCAAGCCCATTCTGACTCATGGGGAAGACAGAGTGTGCCTGACATCTTTTCACTAAGTCACCCAGCTTCTACAAGAATTTTGTGAAAGCACAATTATTTTTCCCCCAAAAAATATAGATGAAATTGGTCTTGAGGGAACTGATGCAGAGCACCAAATGTTTGGAGAAAGACTTCTTCCTCATGCTGAATGCCTGCAGGTTCTGCCTCAGATCAGGACAGAACAGATGCTGCCCTCCCCACTCACTGAGCACTGCCCTGGGTGCTGCAGTCAGATGGGCGAGAAAAAGAAGGCATCCGAGTGAGAAAGGAAGGAGGGGAACACTTCTGACCCCAGCCCATGTGTACAGGACCCTAAGGAATCCATGAAGAAGCATTCGGCTAATGAATCTGGGGAAACTGCAGAAGAGTGAATTCAGAAAAAAAGATAAATACACAAAAATCAGTTCTATTTCTATATACTCAAGAATTCAAAAAGGAAATTATAAAAACAATTTCATGAAAAATGTCATTTAAAAAATAGAATACTGAGAAGTAAATTTAGCTAAGGAAGTGTAAAATTATGTGTTGAAAACTACAAAATGTTGCTGGATGAAATCAAAGAAAACCTAAATAGATATCACACATTCATGGTAAGAAGATCAACAAAGGTAAAATGTAACAGTCCCTGAAGTAATCGAAAGATCCAGTGCAATCCCTAGCAAAATGCCAGTCCTCTTTGTGCACATGTGGGAAAGCTAACCCTAAAATTCAAGTAGAGTTGCAAGGGCCCTTAATAGCCAAAAAACAACCTTGGAAGAGAACAGAGTGAAGGAGTACAATTCCTGACCTCAGAGCCTACTACAGGGCAGGCTGTGGCTCCAGTGGACAGTGCGTCCCTCGCCTGCGTGGGGCACTGGGTTCAACCCTTCGCACCATGTAAATAAGTAAAGGTACTGAGTCCACCTACAGCCTTGACAACCACCACCACCAGCACCTGATGCAGAGCAAGGTATCCAAGCCAGTGAGGTACTGGCCTAACGACAGACACAGATCCATGGAACAGAACTGAGACCTCAGAAGTACACCCATACAACTAAGCCAACTGGTTTCCTAATAGAATTATGATTATTATTCTAACTATTTTTCTTTATTCCATTTTATCATGGAAAGAACACTTAAAATTGACCTTCTGAGAAAAATTTCAAGTGTGCAGGATACTCGTGGTCACTGTAAGTGAAGTGCTGTATGAAGCAGATCTCTAGGACCTATATTCATCTTGCTTCTTTATGCTCCAGTTGAATCCTGATGCCCATTCATTCTAACTCCTCATTTCTGCCTGCCCCCAGCCACCACCAATTACCATTCTACTCTCGGATTTTGTTCACTGGACTATTTAAATGCCGTGTCTCTGAGCAAGCATTCCCATGTCCTCGCAGCCAGCCATGCTGTCACTCCTGCAGGGTTTCCTTTCTGTGGAAACAGAGTGTGTCTCATTGTGGGCATCCACCACATTTCCTTGTTTCTCCCCGTTGGACACGACGTGTTTTCCACATGTTGGTATATGAATGGTGCTGCAGTGTGAATTCATGTAAGAGGACTACTGTCTCTTTGAGATCCTGACTTCAGTCCTTTTGGACAGACCCCCAGAAGTCAGCTGGCTGAGTCCGAGGAACTCCTGTTTTTGATATCACGAGGAATCTCCATACAGTTCCCCACTACACCATCCTGCAGTCCCACCAGAGCGTTCAAGGTCCCACCATCTCTTTACCTAACAGCCCAACGTCCGTGTCTTGATACGGCGCTGGTCCTGGTCAGCGTCTCCCTGAGGGACTCTGAGCACTTTTCATGTACTTGCCGAACACTTCATGCCTTCTCTGGAGTCAACTGATTTTCAAGGGTTCTGAGACCCACCCCTGGGGAAGAACGAGTTGAGGGCTGGGCTGTGGCTCAGCGGTACAGCACTTGCCCGGAGTTGAGGCTCCAGCATGGAAGAGAGGGAGGGAGGGAGGGAAATGGAGAAGAGGAGCCGGAATAGGACTAAAGCTCTTTACCTCACACCAAATACAAATACTGACACAACACGGGCCAAATCCTACTCTAATGGTCAAACCACACAGATCGTACAAGATCTCTAGGACCCATGATTGGCGATGGTTTCTTATGTAACATCAAAATAAGCAACAAAAGAATGAGTGAACTGGACCTTAACAATATTAGAAACTTCTGTACATCAAACATACTACCAAGGGCTGGGGATGTGGCTCAGTGGTAGAGTGTCTGCTGGCATGAACGAGGCCCTGTGCTCAATCCCTAGCACCACCACATGCACACACACACACACAAAAAAAAAAAAAAAAAAAAAAGAAACTATGGATGCTGGTGCAGTGCCACACACCTGTAATTCCTACACATCGGGAGGCTGAGACAGGAGGACTGCAAGTTCAAATCTAGTCTCAGCAACTAAAGTGAAACTCTGTCTCAAAATAAAAATTTGAAAAGTGAGGGGGGTGGCTGGGATGTAGCTCAGTGGTAGAGCACCTCTGGGTTCAATCTCCATTAACAACAACAACAACACTATCAAGAGTGAAAGAGAGCCAGATGTAATGGTGCATGCCTCTAATCCCAGCAGCTCAGGAAGCTGAGGCAGGAGGATCACAAGTTCAAAGTCACCCTAAGCAACTTAGCAAGACTCGTCTCAAAACACAAAAAGGGCTAGGAATGTGGCTCAGTGGTTTAGCACCTCTGGGTTCAATCTCCAGTACCGAGAGAGAGAGAAAAGAAGTACAAAAAATATTCCACAAAATAGGAAAACATATTTTTAACTCATAGGTATCATAAAGGTCTAGTTGGGCATGGCAGCACATGCCTATAATCCCAGAGATTCAGGAGGCTGAGGCAGGAGGAGTGCAAGTTCAAGGCCAGCCTTAGTAATGTAGAGAGACTTTAAATGATTTAGAAAGATCCTGTCTTAAAATAAAAAATGAAAAGGGCTCGGGTTGCAAGGAGCAACGGCACACACCTGAAATCCCAGCAGCTCAGGAGGCTGAAGCAGGAGGAGCACAAGTTCAAAGCCAGCCTCAGCAAATTAGTGAGGCCCTAAGCAACTCAGTGAGACCCTGTCTCCAAATACATTACAAAAAAAAAGGTGGGGATGTGGCTCAGTGATCAAGTGTGATCAAGTGTCCCTGCATTCAATCCTAAGTAGTAAAAAAAAAAGGCTGGGGCCATAGCTCAGTAATAGAGCATCATGGGTTAAATAACCAGCACTTAAAACAAAGCAAAAAAGAATGGAAAGCAGGTGCTTAAATAAAAACATAATGTCCAAATGTCCAAATCACCACTAGTCATAGCAGCCAAAAGGTAGACACAGCCCCAGTGCCCACCAGTGAGCTGACCGACAGATGTGGCAGAGCCATAAGGTGCAGTGTTGTTCAGCCGTAAAACAAATGCTGCTTGGCAAACGCTGCACCCCAGGAAAGCCCCCCGACACAGAGGCTGCATGGTACAGGTTCCTGTATGTGAAGTACTCAGAACGGAGAACCCCTGGACAGACAGACAGTGGTCACCACGGACTGGGGAAGGAGGAATGGTAATGACCACCTAGTGAACAGGAGGTTTTCTTCTAGAGCAATCTTTAAAACCTCTGGAATTAGACAGTGGTTTTGTTGTAAAATACTGTGAATGTACATAAGGCCACCCAATCGTGTGCGCTAGGATAGCTACATAGTCATACTTTTCCATGATAAAAACAGGTAAATAAAACAGAACAGCAGCCCACACGGCAAAAGAGAGGATAAAGAGAAAGGTCGGCAGGGAGAAGGAGGGGCAGGAAGCAGAGGGTGGGCAGGCGTCCCAGCAGGGAAGCCTGACGGTGGGTGGGTTCAGGCCGCAGACGAGACCACCAGACCACGCAGACCACCAGACCACGCAGCCTGCCTGCCGGAGCTGCCTGCTCCTAAGCACGGGCATCCCCGCACTGCGTACAGAGAAGGACGTGACCCAACAGAAGAACTCTAAGGGCAGGAAACGCAAACAGAAACAGCCTGCAACAGACCGACCCTGCCTGTGATGATCTCCAGAAAGGGGCACTCTCCTGTGTCCAGCAGTGTCTGTGAGGCCCATGGACCTTAAAGAGGTATTCTGACATATAAGCAAAGAGAATGTGCAAACTGAGCCTCTTCATCATAGGTGGAAACTGGAACAGACCTAAACGGTCAGACATCTTCAACAGTAAGTGCAAGGGTAGTGGACGTCCATGGGCTGTACTACTGGACAACCATTATCTCATATATATATATATATATATATATATATATATTATATTTAGCTGTGAACGGACCCTTATCTTATTTATTTATATGTGGTGCTGAGAACTGGACCCACGCCTCGCAATGCCAGGCAAGGGCTCTACACTGAGCCAGGCCAGCCTTTGTCTTACTTCTTATCTTTGATGGGGTTCTTTTTTTGTTGTCTTTTCTCTTTGGAACTGAAGCTCAACCCAGGGCTTTGCTGATGAGTTCCATCTCGGCCCAAAGGGGTATTTGTTTTTTTACCTTATTATTTTTTTTTTTCTAAACAACCATTGAAAAATGAAGCACAACTATGTGTATAAGTTTATAAAGACAGAAACAGAGAAATCATAATAGAAAACATGTAAAAACTCAGGGCTATGGCTGGGGCTCAGTGGTAGAGCACTTGCTTAGCATGTGTGAAGCACTGGTTTGATCCTCAGCACCACATAAAATAAATAAATAAAATAAAGGTATTGTGTCCATCTAAGCTAAAAAATATTTAAATAAAAAAATGCATATAAAAATTCAAACATTTTATATGTTCTAACTGAAAAAGATCTATTAAAATTAAGACTTTTTTTAAAAAATTTTTTTGCAGTTGTAGATGGACAGCATGCATTTATTGTATTTGCTTCATTTTTATGTGGTGCTAAGGATAGAACCCAGTGCTTCCTAGGTGCTAGGCAAATGCTCTCCACTGAACTACAGCCTCAGCCCAAAATTAAAATTCTTATTACCATTTGTCAAAAATAGTTTGAGACAATATGCCCATGAATTTGCATGTTTATACATAAAAAATACCAGGACTGTGAAGAAAACATCTCAGGCAAACAGCAAAGTGCGGGTAAACATAGAAAAGAAAACAGAGGAAGAGGGAAACAAAACTTAGGGGCAGCACCAAATCTTTCACGATAAGATGATAATTTTAAGCTATATAATCTTTCACCAAATAATAAGCAAGAGTTGGCAAATAAATAGCCAAGATTTTGAGGATGCTTCTTTTTTTCCTGAACTGGGGACTGAGCCCAGGGGAGCTCTACCACTGAGCTACATTACAGACTTTTTTATTTTTTATTTTGAGACAAGGCCTTGCTACGTTGCTGAGACTGGCCTTGAACTTGTGATCCTCCTGCCCCAGCCTCGAGTTGCTGGGATTACAGGTGTGTGCAAGATTACCACATCTGGCTTCAGGATGCAATTAAATCCACACTCCCAGTCCCTGCCAACCTCACTAAAACAAAACACTGAGCGCCTAGCAGGCAGTCCTGTCCAGGGGTACAGCAATCGCCAGCTGTGCATAAAGAAACCGTTGTAGCATCCCTTTAATAACTGAGAAACCTAACGCGTGCAGTGGGCGTCCACGTCCACGGTGAACCTAGGGTACCCACCACTGTGTGAAAAGGAGCGCAACCACCATGTGAGAGGCCTAGGCTCCTGCTACCCTCCTGTGGGGTGGGTCACGGGTGCCACTCCTTCTCCAGTAGGCAACATGGTTACATGTTCTACAAACCGTCAGCTTGACAGGGATTTCTTGCACTTCACCCGCTGCCCCTGCCTTCTGGCACACGACTTCTGCCCGCCGTCCTGAGACACAGGGGCCTCTCAGGCCCAGGCAGGCTCTGCTGTCTCTGCTCCTGCGGTTCTCCAGGGCTGTGGCGTCGTCCTGCTGGAGTGACCCTTCCCTCAGCCTACACACTCACACAGGCCTCAGCCCGAGCGTCCACCTGCCTCCCTCCAGTCGCCTGCCTGCGCTGGGCAGAGGGGCCCACTGGCACACCTGCAGATGGTGCTTCTCACAGGAAGGGGTGCGTGATGGACAAACGGGCCCTTCAGCCACAGAGGAGTGAACCTGAAAGACGCTCAAGAGCACGTACAGGTCAGGAAAAGTCACTCAAAGCTGCGAGGCTGACACAGGTGCCACTGGCCGAGAGGAAGAGGGCACTGGGAGATGAGCTGTTAGGAGGAGCAAAGGTGGCGGGCATCCTTCTGGCCCAGGACTGACTCCCTCCCGGATCTGGAGGCTTGGTAAAGCTTCTACAGCCTCCTGCTGAGGACCTGCACTCTGCGGTGACAGCTCACTCTCACCTGCAGGGACTTCCCCACACCAATGTGCACACTCACCTGAGAACAGGCCTGCAGCCAGCTCTCTGGGCACCCTCCAGGGCTCCTCCTCTTGCTCCAGGAAAGAGGCCACGTCTGGCTTAGAAACGCCCCGTCCTGCGTGAGGGGCGAGAGATGGGGTGGTCACACTGTGGCCCTCTAAACTCAGGCTCTCGTTCCCTGGTGAGGATGGGAGTGGTCAGGAGGAGGCGCCATCAAGACGACCCCTGGAGCACAAGGACCGCGCCAACCTTCCCCTGCATGGAGGCCAGAGGTGCACCGCACAGCCAGGGCCGGAGCCCGGGCAGCACCTCAGAAGAGCCTCCCCTGTGCGTGCAGCGGGGCTCTGCAGACAGACCTGGTCTGGAGAGGGAGGCCTTACCTACGGACTCCTGGCCACTCTGCTCCTCCCACAGCACATCCTTACAGAAAGTCCTCTGAGCTGGGTCTGGCTGCCGGGAGAAGTCCATGGCCATGCTGGTGACGGTCACCAAGCCCTGGAAAGGTGTGAACACGCTCCTGATCAGGTCACGCCTGCAGGCTTGCGTGGCCCCAGTGGGATGGCCATGGCCACCCATGGATCGGCACAGTCTGTACCTAGAAGCGTGACCTTGGTCACTCAGGTGGGGCTGGGTCGTCTCAGACGCACCGTGACAGCCTTGTTAAGCCGAGGTGCTGGGTGAGAGCAGGAGAGAGGCGGGGGCTGCTCCCAGAGTGCTCGCGTCCTCTCCTGCGGCTTCACCTCGTCCCCGCCACCCCCTTTTCTGAAGTGCATCGAGGGGACAGCGTGCCCCCAGGAATACTGCCCTCAGATGGAAGCCTCTCCCAGCGCTGCTCATAAAAGGCTGCCTGAAGTTTACCTCCTGACTTACCGGCTGTGTCTCAAGTAGAGCAGCAGAACCCCAGTTCTCCCCTAAAATAGAGTCCTCCAGGCAACAGCCCGCGGGCCCCGCTCCTGCTGCCGCCGGGGCTCGTCCTTCCTCACGTGGGCGATCGGGAAGGGCCTCCTGGGTCTTCTGCACAGCCTTCGCTTCTGAAAGATGGAAAACCAATCTCTCCTCCGGTACGTGTTAGCACGAAGAAAGCGTCCAAGCCCAACAGCTGAATTAAGATCCTGACAAGAGCATGTCATGGGCTGGGCTGGGCTCAGTGGCACAGCGCTGGCCTTGCACGTGTGAGGCACTGGGTTCGATCCTCAGCACCACGTAAAAGTAAACAATAAAGATATTGTGTCCATCTATGATAAAAACATTTTTTAAAAAGCATGTTGGGCTGGGGATGTGGCTCAGTTGGTGGAGTGCTTGCCCTGCGTGCACAAGGCCCTGAGTTCAATCCCCAGCACCACACACGTAAAAAAGGCATGTCATTTTGGAAGCTTTTAAAAATGACTACGAACGTGCTTAACTTTGTGAGGTCACAGTACAAAAGGGTGCAATATGAGCCTTCCCACCCACAGGCTGAAGAAGTAGTGCTCGCTGCGTCATCCATAGAGAGATGCGAGTCCTCGGCAGGGCACAACTCAGCAGGTCGCTGGCCCAATAAGCCTGAGGCTGGTTCCACCCAATGGCACAACTGAGAGAGGAGGTTCCAGTCTGAACGTGGCTCACCCAGACAACCAGGAGGCAGACGCCATGAAAGGAGACTGCCGTGCGACTGCTCGACTGCTCCGGCTTCCTCCAGTCTGACGAAAGCCCACCTCTAGCTCCCCACGCCTCCCTTTGGTCCCAAGGTTGGTTCCTAAGAGAGCAGCTCCAGCCTCACGAGCAGCGGGTCTCCACCAGGAGAGGCGCCTGCCAGGAAGACCAGCTCGTCTCCTGCACAGTCCACCCAGGGGACGTGGTGAGACACTGCAGGACGGAGAACTCACAGGCATCTCCCTCTGGCTTTCGGGGGCGGCGGCCCGCTGGGGCCTCGCCGGGTACAGGGCCAGCGACCTGTGCTTGCCTTCAACACAACTCCGCCTTAGAAGTAAGATTTGAGCAGAGATCTACGAGAGTTTCACTGCCTTCAAAACTATTGCCATTTCCTATTATAACAGAGCCTTCAAAAGAAATCTACGTCCCAAGCTGTGTCCACTTGACCAACTGCTGCTGCAGGAAGGACACTGCGGTGGCCCTCCTAGTCCCAAAAGCCTGATGTCACCACAACAAGCGGGACGTCTGACCAGCCACTCAGGTGTCTTCTGAGAGCCAACTACCTAGCTGCACACTGCCCGTCTGCATTGAGAAGCCCCCTGGACCCCAGGCCCATCCCGATGACCCTCTCTCCTGCTCGACGCTCTGTTGAGCTCCAGTGTCACTCGAGCCGCCCCGGCTCAGCCCTGGGGCTCTCTTACTCCCTAGTCCTGCCATCCCTTGCCACCCGCGGACCCCAGCTGCTGCTCCCTTCAGGAGTGTTCAGAGGCACCTCCCCTGGGAGCTGGTCACTCTTCCACGTCTGCCCTCCTCATGCCACCCAGCATCTGAGAGCACCAGCTGACCAAACCCTAACCGACATCAAGTCCAACAACAGACCACGCGAGCATCAGCCAGCGCTGGGCTGGGGCTCCGTGGTGACGCTGCCTGGCATGTGAGGCCCTGGTCCGGTCCTCAGCAGCACACAAAAATAAACACAATCAAGCCATGCTGTCCACCTGAAACTACAAAACGGGTTTTAAAAAGGATCAGCAAAAGATTTTTTTCAAACCACAGATGATTCCACATGTCTGGAAGACACAGGAGAGGAAGCCCTGGAGTGGGTGGCTGTCTGATGGAGAAGGGAGGCGGGACCGACGCGTGGCCGCGAGGACTGCCCGAGGGACAGCGTGCAGGCAGAGAGGCAGCCCGCCAGCCCCACACTCACCTGGGCACCGGCCTCGCATCCCCCTTCTCCTCACCGTCCAGGGGGCTCTTCCTTGTTCCAGGGAGGAGATCATGTTGGGCTTAGAAGCACAGAGTCCTGGAGGGGTAAGAACAGGCATGTCACACCCACCGTGGGCCTGTCCAGACAGGGGCGCAGCTCCCCGGCTCTGAGGCCAGGACTGGGCGCTCCTCAGTCGAGGGAGGACGGAGGGGGAGGGAGGGGGGCTGGAGGGGGCAGGCGGCGGGGGGGAGGGGGGGACATAGGGAGCGGGAGGCGGGGGAGGGAGGCTGGAGGGGGCGGGAGGGAGGTGGAGGGGGGCAGGAGGAGGGCGGGGGGGGGAAGGGGGGGGAAGGGACGGGGCGGGAGGGGGCGGGAGGCAGGCGGGCAGCCCCTTACCCAGCGACGCCAGGCTCCGGTAGTTCTCCAGCATCACCTTCCTGTACAGGCTCCTCTGCGTGGGGCTCAGCCACTCCCACTCCTCTGGGGAAAAAGCTACAGCCACATCCCCAAAGGTCACCAGGCCCTGAAAGACAACCCCAGTCGTGCTCACCGGGCGGTTCCCAGATGAACTGTGTCCCGGGCTCTGGTGTGTCCAGGCCAGACCGCCTGTCCTTGTTGTAGTTGCTGGTGGACCTTTACTTTATTCATTTATTTATACGCGGTGCTGAGATGGAGCCCAGTGCCTCACACATGCCAGGAAGGCCCCAGCACTGAGCGCAGCCCCAGCCCTTTCAACACACTTTGTGCGCATCTTCTAATCACCTAGAAAGACTGGGTGCTTCAAGGAAGGACTGAAGTCTGTCCTCCACGTACACAGTAGTGTGGGGCCTTTTTTTTTTTTTTTTTTTTTAAATAAAAGACCGATGCTTGGTGATCTGAAGGCCTGGAGGTTGTTGGACAGTGGCCTCCTTGCTTGCTTTCTCTCCTGGTGCAGGGGTGGGAAGCCTGGAGCACACGTAAGCACGTGCTCCCTCGCAGAGCCACATCCTGGCCTGGACAGCCGGCTTCCCACCTCAGCCTCCAGAGACAAGAAGAAACATGGAGACGCCCCTGCCTTGGAGTCTGCAGCTTTGTGGGGTGGCAGGAGGCGCCCCCATATTTGCCATCAGTTCCAAACAGTACATAATAGGGCTAACTTGTTCCATATACAACAGATAGGAGGGCATTTCTCACAATGGGGACATGCAAGTGGCCTGGGGTAGCACAAGCATGGGGAAAGATAGAGTCGACTGACAGGAAAAAAAAGAATAGGGAGAGAAACCTGGAGACAGACCTCAGGAGATCAGCATGGCTACGGCCCAAACTGAGCTCTAAGGATTTCTACTTTACTTTGTTACTAGATGTTCGTTAAGACAAAATTTAACACTATTTTTTTCTAAAATAAAAATGAGCATGTAAGGATGAAAACCTCTGGGAGTGGGTGTGGCTCAGTGGTAGAGCACTTACCTAGCATGTGTGAGGCCTGGGTTCGGTCCCCAGCACCGCAAAATAAATAAATAAAGGTAAAGCCTGCTCTGACCCACACCCTCCTGGATTCGCCTACAGCTGCACACACGCCGCCAGATTCTAACGTGTGCCCTCAAACTCTGACCCCTGGAGTCTGGTGAGCATCCGAGCATCCGTGTGACCCGCAGGGCAGACTGCATGCCTCACCTGCACAGACGTCCCAGGCTGCCTCTGCCTAGCCCCACCAGCCCCTCAGTGTGCAGGACATGCGAGGCCAGGCAGAGGCCAGGCAGCGAGGCCAGGCGAGTGCCGGTGAGCTCGGCTCACCGCCTGCTGCTGCCTCTCACACCGTGCTGTCCCAAGCCTGCCACCTGCATTCGCCAGGGCAGTCCCCACTGGCTCCCGCGGTGCTCTAGGTCAATAAGGCCCCACACTCCAAGCCGTCTGACCTGTCTCCAGCAGGCCACCCCAGTCCCCATCCAGCTTTGCCCTCCCCTCAGATGAGCCAAACCACCAGGGCTGGGAAACCCACCTGGTGTAACCAGTGGGGGCGGCGCCCACAGGCCCTGCCTGCCTCTCCCCCCCTGCTGGCTGAGCATGCGTGCTGGGTGCTGTCTACCCCGCTCCCTGTTGGCACTACCCTCTTCCCTCTGGGACCTGAGAAACCCCCCGATTTGGGGTCCCTCACTGTGCACACTTGCCAAGCTCAGACCACACCTAAGCACACTGGGATCCCAACACTGAACACCTGAACCTAAAGGTCACACTGTGCTACCAGGAACCAAAGTCCTTAGAGGCTTGACATCTGATGAACAAGACCCAACCATGACTTCAGAGCCTGCCACCAAGCTCTGGGGGCACTTTACTGAAGAGTGCAGAGGTGAGTCGTGAGGACCCTGTGGGGAAATCTCCCAGGGTCCTACCCAGGACAGACTGCCCGGCAACACCTAGAAAGGGCCAAGGATGCACTAACACTGAGCCATCGAAGCTACACACATGCTGCTCGGCCCTCAGCAACAACCATGCCGGCTGCAGCATCTGGGCACAAAAGCACACCAACTGATTTTTGGGAGGATGCATATTTTTTTTTCGGGGGGAGCAGGTACCAGGGATTGAAGTCAGGGGTACTTCACCACTGAGCCCCAATCCCAACCCTATTTTGTATTTTATTTAGAGACAGGGTCTCACTGAGTTGCTTAGTGCCTCGCCCTTGAGGAGGTTGGCTTGGAACTCGAGATCCTCCTGCCTCAGCCTCCCAAGCTGCAGGGATTACAGACATGTACACTGCGCCTGGCAAGAGGTTGATCTGGATGGAAAGAAGCACAGCTGGTTTCCTGTTGACCGTGTCCTCTATCACTACCTGCACTTTGCACCAGCAGATGTCACATGCCGCCACTCAGGCAGTGGGAACCCACAGGCATGCTGACGAACCTCAGCATCCCAGACGTCCCAGTGCACATGTGGCACTGGAGCTGTGTTCCAGGACAGACACAATTAGGCGCTCAAACAGTGCTGCGCCTGGGCAGGGAGACGGGCTCGCACGATCCAGCCCAAGACTCCAGCTGCACACTCCTGCCTGCTCTGTCTCACACAGACTGTCTTCATATCTTCAAATATGAAAATATTCTTCAAGTACACCTCTGTATATAGAGCAAGTTATTTTTATGATATCTTTAAAAAATCTTTACATTTTTATAAATTTGTTGATACCAAAGTAAAATGATGCCCACTCTTCTATCATTTTTAACTACCTTGTCACTGTCAAGAAACCCAGAGTCTAGTGACTCCTAAAGAGAAGTAAACAAGTTCAAGTACTTTCTTAAACTGGGAATAATCTTTTTGGTTTTGATATGTTTCTTTACAAGAAATGTCTCCTGCCAGGGAAAGTGGTACACTCCTATAAGCCCAGCACCTTGGGAGGCTGAGGCAGGAGGATCCCAAGTTTGAGGCCAGCCTCAGCAACTTAGGGGGGCCCTATCTCAAAATAAAAAATAAAAAAGGGCTGGGGATGTAGCTCAGTGGTTAAGCGCCCCCTGGGTTCAATTCCTGGAACAAAACAAACAAACAAAAACAAAAAAACAAAAAAAGAAGAAAGAAGAAGAAAAGAAAAAGTCCCCTTCTCCATCTCTCTAACCTGTGTTCTGAGGAACCCAACATTAATCACGTGCACATCCTTCTAAGACATTTTCTCAGTCAAGGACTTTTGTTAGCAAATGCCTGTGGCTATCAATAGCAGCTGAGGACCCTCATAACATTCCAGAAACAATTCTGCACCCTCATATATTAGCTTATTTTACCCCACAACTGCTTTCCTCACACAAGAGAAAATAAGGAGCTGAAACTCGCCCTGGATCCGTGTCCGTTGGCTGCAGAGCTGGGATGCAGCTCGGCAGTCTGACGCCATCACCCATGCTGGACATCAGAGGCCCGCAGAGTTTCTCTGCAAAGACCCGGAGAAAACAAAATTAGGCTTTCTGAGCCACTGGGCCTCTGCCACGACCACTCGGCTCCGCCTCGGCAGCACAGGTGCCCAGGCAGCAGGACGTGGACAGGCATGCCCTGCTCCAGGACACCTTGCTCAGGGACACCAAATCCAACTGCATGTGACTCCACATGTCCTCAAATACTGTTCTCCCTTTCATTTCTTTCAATAATTGAAATATGTAAAAACTATTTGCAGCTCTTGAGCCATATAAAAAGAGGTGATGGGCCAGATTTAGCCAGAGGCCATAGTTCCCAAAGTTCTTTGTACATTGTGTACATTTTTAAAAAGCATGCCACCTACAAGGCTTACCTGCAAACTTCTAAAACTGCCATGACGTCATGAGGCTGCTGCCAGCTGACACAGCAAGTTCGTCCAATGTGCTCGGCACTAATGAGGCAACAGAGGCAGTCCTTACGAGAACCGCGGAAGCAGCCTTTCATCTTCCTCACGGACAGAGGAAGAAAATGGGACCCAGTGATTGAATGTCAGCCCTGATGCTCCATAATCCATGCTTTAAACGCCATGCTTCTCTGCCTCCATTAAAACGCTTAACTCCTGCCGGGCGCTGTGGCGCACACCTGTAGTCCCAGCAACTTGGGAGGCTGAGGCAGGAGGATCGTGAGTTCAAAGCCAGCCTCAGCAATTTAGCAAGGCCCTAGCAACTTAACGAGACCCTGTCTCAAAATATAAAAATAAAAAGGGCTGGAGATGTGGTGGCTCAGTGATTAAATGGCCCTGGGTTCAATCCCTGGTACAACAACAACAAAAAAACCTCAACTCTGACAGCAACAGAAATAGTGAACACACTCATACACTCATCCTCTCCTGACCAGGAAATAAGATGCACTAGAAAACAGCACGCCCTCTCACTGAGGAAGACAAACTTTCTCTGATAGCTAGATTAACCTGCTTAATTCCGGGTATGAACACCCGCTGAAAGATCCAAGTCCTGTTCTATTCCTGTGCTGCAGCATACACAGGCAGACCTCCATCCAAACGGGGTTCACGTTCCACACCACATCACCCAGGACATGTTAGCTGAACCTGGTGCAGCCTCAAATTCAGTTATTTAACTCTTCCTTAGTACACATGTGAAAACATGAATTTAGCCCCCCAAACAGCAACTCTATCCTTACAGAAAAAAAAAATGCTTTCTGTTGACATTTTACAGAGAAAAGTGAATTAAAAATATTATAGGAAAAAAGTATCAAAAAGTGTTGTTGTTTTGCTCAATTAAATGTAGTTAAATCTTAAAAGCATGTAGAAACAAATACTTGGTGATTATTTTTCTGGGTGGTTACTTTTTTGGAGCATCAATTCTAGTTTTTGACATTCTACTGCTGTTGTCTCCACATAAAATTTTAAAAGTACCATGTTTTCACCTAAGTTTGGGAAACCTTAGTCCATAGAGAAAGGAAAACTTCTGGGAATGTTCCCAATAAAATAATAAGAGATGACACAATTATCAAGTGTAAGAATAATTATTCTAGCCAGGTAAGACTGGCACACGCCTGTAATCCCAGCAACTTGGGAGGCTGAAGCAGGAGGATTGCAAGTTCAAGGTCAGCGTCTAAACACTACACTAAATAGCAAAACATTGGTCACAAGAGAACTGAATATATTTACACATCTATCTAACAAATATTTTCTGTATCAGGCACATCTATCTAACAAATATTTTCTGTATCAGGCACTAGGGCAAAACTGCTCTGAACCTCTGCTTATGAAGTATGGCAATGAGGTAGGAGAAAATAAGATATTAAGTAAAATAGTGTGTTGAAAGTGCTGAATTTTAAAATAAATAAATAAAGCAAGGAAGAGGAATTTGAAGAATTGTGGTAGGAGGCTCTTAGATGGTAGAAGGTATGATCAGGAAAACAAGAAGGTGATTTTTCAGAAAGAGTGGTGGTGAGGTGAAGCAGCAGGTATCAGAGATAACAAGAAGCCAGTTGGGGGCCTGTCATAGTAGGGATTTTGGCCCTTCTTCAGGGAAACCATTGGAGGATTTCAAGCAAAGAATGACAAGAGCAATGTTTGAACAGGGCTACCAGCTGCTGCATTGGGGAGGGGCTGTGGGAACTTGGGCAGAAACAGGAGGTCATAGGGGCCAAGAGAAAAACCTGAAAGCGAGGGTTAGAACCTGGTGTCTAGACCCTCGCTTGCCTCCCTGACTTCCTGTCAACAGGCTGTGAGCCCCTTGAGAGGAAGGAATGGGGCTTAGCCAGGTGGACATGGTGGCACAGGCCTGTAATTCCAGTGACTTGGGAGGCTGAGGCAGGAGGTGTGCCAAGTTCGAGGCCAGCCTCAATTTAACCAGGTCCTGGGTGAAACCCTGTCTCAAAATTAAAAAAAAAAAGGGGGGGGCTCAGTGGTAAATCGCCTGAGTTCACGCCTCCAGAAAAATCAAAGAAAGAAAAAAGAAATGGCATTTAGGGGACTGGCATTGAATGGGCACAAACAAACCAGGCACAGCACAAGGGGCCACCTGTTTCCCCAAGGAGCACACTTCCACTCCTGGAGACCACCTCTGACAAAAAGGCACAGGGGAGAGGGGTCGGAGCCCCTCATCAACCAAGACTGAACACTGGCCGGGGTGCAGAGGAAGCAGGCGGGAGGCCGGGGTGCAGGGAAGCAGGCGGGAGGCGCTGGGCAGCGGTCGGCAGCACCCAGGACAGATCTCCCAACCAGGAACTTCACGGAAAAGAAACCTCAGTGAGTAGGAGGCAGAGGACCGGCACTCACCTGCGCCATGGCTCTCTGTCCAGCTCCCCGCCCCGCCACCTCCCGCTGGCGGTTCCTCTCCCGGAGCGGCGCAGTGTCCCCGGAAAGCAGAGCTGCAGAGGAGAAAGAGAAGGGACGAGCCTGCGGCACGCTCCCCACCACCCTGGGCGCCCCTTCCGCAGAAGCGGGGAGGGCGCTCTGGAAGGCGCAGGGGGACCCTGCTACCGCGGGGCACCGAACCGGGCCGCGACAGCCGCGCGACCCGCAGGGCACGGCCGGGGAGCGCGGGCCGGCGACCTCCGCCTCAAACCCCAGCGCCGCCGGCCCCACCCTACCCTCGCCCCCGAGGACGCGCTGTCACCGTGCGCCCGCCGCCGCGCTCACCTCCCCGCACGGGCGCCCAGGACACCGCTCCTCGCCGGGCCTCGGGGACGAGGTGGCCCCGCGATCGCGGCCTTCTCCGCGCGGCGCAGGCCGGGGCCGCTGGCGCCGCCGCTGTCCGACCCCGGCCCGCCCGGGGCTTGGTGCGCGGACCGCCTCGCCTCGGGAGGGCGCGGGTGCGCGCGTCCGGTGACATGCGTGGGGACGCGGGCGCCCGCGCCCTCGGGCGGCCCCGCGACACGCCCCCGGCCACACCCGCGCTCCCGCCCCGGCCCTGCCCGGCAGCCCGACTCTCGCGCGCACTCAGCCGGAAGTGGGCGTGGCCAGGCAGCGCCCGCTGGGAGGCGTAGTCCCAGCTCAGGCCGCCGGGCTCGGGTCCCCCCGGGCCTACTTCGCACGTCGTTCCGCCCCGGGCCGGCTTTCGCGCGTCTCGCCCGCAGCCAGGGAAAGCCCACGCCGGACGGGGAGCGCGCAGACGTCGCGGGGGCGGGGCTTCCTCGGGGGCGGGGCCTCCGGCGGGGAGCGCGCAGACGTCGCGGGGGCGGGGCTTCCTCGGGGGCGGGGCCTCCCGGAGGGGCGTGGCCTCCCCAGGCCGGCTCCACCAGCGAGCTGCCCTAGACGTGCCGACCGGACCCGCGCTGGCCTTGACCACCGAGAGATGCGGGCGCGGGGGCGTGGGGATAGTGCTCCCGGCCGCCCTTCGGGCTTCTCCTGGTCTTCCACGTGCCGCCCGAGGCTGCCCACGATCCCAGACACCGCCGTCCCGGAGCCCTCGGAGCCCTGGCCCGGTGGAGGTGCGTGGCCTAGGACAGCCCCGGGGTCCGCCAAGCGCGGGTGGAGGTGGACGCCCTTCGCACGTGCAGCTGCGGACCTGCAGTTCCCGTCCCTAGTGGGGCTGCGCTCCCAGGCCCGACCCGGTTGGACACGGGAACCAGTAGCGGACAGAGTGGCCACAGCCCCTGGGGCCTTGTCCCAGCCTGGTGCCAGCGACTTTCCTACTCCCACTCCCGCCAGGGCAGTGTGCCCCCGCTAGCCCTGCTCACCGTGGACGGGTGTCGGGCCTGCGCAGAGACAGGCGCCTTCCCCAGGACCCAACTCAAAGACTGAGTTTCGTGGAAGTCAGGCCCCCACCACGGCAGCCGCGCAGCCGGCTGGGCTCGCCTTCCCGCCTTCCCATGGGCAGTTCCGAGCCTCCAGAGCTGTCCCTCACCTGGAGGCGAAGCCGTCCTCCCGCTTGTGCTCTCTGGCTTGAAGCTTTGCCTGCACCTTCTGCTTACTTTAAGTTCGTTTTAATTGACACCGGTCCCAATTTCCCCAGCCTGTGGCCTCAGTGATGGACTCAAAGCGACTCAACCTGGTGGGGCGGGAGGGTGTCTGTCCGCGTGCGCAGGAGGACAAGGTCAGCGCCCCCTCCACGCATTACGGCCTCCCGCGCTCCTCTGCCGTGGGCGCCGCCCGTGTCCTCCCCCAAGCCTGCTCTGCCCTACCTCCCCGCCAGCGCAGCGCCCAGGTGGAACCCAGGGGGCGTTTCCACTGAGCCGCCCGCGTACAATCCCCAGGCCCCTGCGGGGCGTGCCTCTCATTTGGGATGTAATTTTTAGTCCAATGAATTTCGCTATCAAGTCAACCTAATGAAAATATGAATTTTGTACAACTTCCTAGGTTGGGATCTTCTTTCTGAGGGGATTTTGTTTTATGTCCACGGACTTTAACCACATCATGAGATGCCAATCCTTCCTTGGCCCACTCTGCCAACATGGCACAACCCCACCCTGGGCCAGTACCAGTGTTCAAAATAAGACTAAGCCAATGACAGTCTCCTGTCGCTGCGAATGAGGTGGCTTCCTGTGAATCCTGGGGGTAAAGAGATCCCCAGTACAAGGTGAGCTTTGTTAGGAAAGACAAAGGGGTGAGTGGAGACCAGGCGGACAACCAGAAGAATGTACTAAGGGAGTGCCAGGGGAAAGTCAGACTGGGATTACAGTGCCACGGGCAGTTCTGCAGGTGGGCAGCAGAACACAGACTTTGTCTTCTATTAGAAAAAGCATTTGGGGGCTGGGGTTGTAGCTCAGTGGTTGAGCACTTGCCTTGCATGGGTGAGGAACTGGGTTCGAGCCTCAGCACCACATAAAATAAATAAAACAAAGATAAACATATATGAAAAAAACAAAGATATACATGGCACCTACTATAATTGGAGAATGCAAAAAGGCTTCAGCCCATCAGTCTCACTTTGGTCACACGTTTATGAACTTTCCTGAAAGGCAATACAGTGACCAATTGTACTTCATCAAAAGAATGTGTTTAAACTGGAATATACAGCATGTTAGAATTTCCCTGGGCTTGCCCACACGCTGGGGCACACCTCTAATCCCACTGACTCCGGAAGCTGAGGCAGGAGGATCACAGGTACAAGGTCCTGCCTCAAATTAAAAAGGACTGGGGGGTGTGGCTCAGCAGTCAAGCACCCTTGGGTTCAATCCTCAGTGCAAGTGTGTGTGTGTGTGTGTGTGTGTGTGTGTGAAATCACATGGCCTAAAAGCAGGATGGAAATAAAAGGAAATTCTGGGGGGCTGGGGCTGGAGCTCAATGGTAAAGCTCTTGCCTTGCATGTGTGAGGCACTGGGTTCGAGCCTCAGCACCACACAAAAATAAAGTTACTGTGTTTTCATCTACAAGTAAATAAATATTTTTTAAAAAGATTTTGGGAATTTAAAGAGAGATCAGTTGAAATTATCCAATCTGAACCACATGAAAAAAGACTGGGAAAAGGAAGTGCTTCAAGGAATGAACACTTAGAAACCAAAATAAAAAATACAATACCAGGTCCAACTGAAAGCAAAAAATAGACACGGGAATCACCTAAGTGTAAATCAAACAAAACGTGTATGCTAAGGACCAAAATGCTGATAAGTCAAATAGGTGGAAATACTTTGTAAATTGTCAGATTCAACATACTGACAAATATTTCCCCCCCCAAAAAAAATTCAGGTTTAATGAAATTCCTTCCATTAGGCAGGAAATAAGCAAGGACAACACAAGACTGAAACAGCCAAGTTCCACCTGCCCAACAGCAGCCCACACATTCTAGACTTGGGCTGAAAGTGCACACAACCTTGGGTTGCTGCATCAGAAGTCTACACCCCATTCCCTTCCTTCAGTATGCACTTAACTTGGCTGCAATTCTTTGGGGGATCTGGTTAGAAAGGTCAATGGTGTTAAGGAAGGTATTAGGGGTACCCAGGTGCTGGTCCCACACCCAGGTCTGAGAGCAGGGTGACAAGCAGTCTGGAGCCATCAGAGGTACCTGGTCTGAGGCCTCATACGTGACGTGCTTTTAAACAAGGTGAAATCCCAGCAGCAGCTACTGACTTCCTTGCCAGACAGTTACTAGTAATCACAGAAAGTCACCTCTCCTACTAGCAGTCCAAACAAGCCCGTGAAGGTTTCCCGTGGCTCCCAAGGGGAAGGCTGTGCATGCCTGTCTTAGGTGCATCACCAGCACCCGCAGCTCTTCCTCCGTGGTGGGTACAGCTTTGCTGTCCTTAAATCTTTGCTTATGTCTTATTTCCAACACTTCCTGCAATTTTTTCAGTGGCATAAGTCACAAACATACCCAGGGCTAAGTTGAGGTCCCATTGCCTCCTTGGACCTGTCCTCTGATAGGCTGATACAAAACCTTAGGGAAGGAGCCCATGGAACAGGCCTGCACCCCCAGCGACTTGGGAGGCTGACACAGAATTGCAAGTTTGAGGCCAGCTTGGCCACCTACACAAGACTGTTGAAATAAAACTAAAAGGGGTAGGTAAGTGCTCAGAGGTAGAGTAATCCTGGGTTGAATTTCCAGTAGCAAAGAGGCCGGGGGGATGCTGGCTAGGGAAGATCAGAGCTCAGTGGCTCCGTGGTACAGCGTTCCTGGGGCCAGTCTCTATTTAGTACCAAAACAAAACAGGAAGGAAGGGATAAGATTCCAAAGGTCTGGCAACACTTACATCAGAATGCAGGACATAGTCTCCAAAAAGTTTTTTATTTGGAGGGGGGTGTACCAGGGATTGAACCCAGGGGCACTCAACCACTGACCACATCCCCAGCCCTATTTTATATTCTATTTAGAGACAGGGTCTCACTGAGTTGCTCAGTGCCTCACTGTTGCTGAGACTGGCTTTGAACTAAAAATCCTCCTGTCTCAGCCTCTGGAGCCACAGGGATTACGTTCGTGTACCTTGGCGCCTGGCTCCCAGCTCCAAGTAGGTTTAAGAGCACTTGACCTCATAGGTTGGAACAGCTTTTAACTGGGCTGGACTTATTTACAAGTGTGCACCTCAGGAGTGCACATGTGATCTGCTTATTGGTGCAGATGAATGTCCCTCTGTGGAGGCCCAGCCTATCCTAAGTGAAGTCCAGCACTTGACCTTCCTGTACTCAGGAAGGGCCCGGAGAGCTTGGCATGCTGACCTTGCTCCTTTCTGCCAGGGTTCCTCTCGCTCTGTGGCCTCGCCCAGAGCCCACAGCCAGGCCCCTTTCTGTGAACTCTGGAGGTGGGGAACACCACCACCTTCACAAAGTGCGGTACCTGTCAGAGCACTGGGTATGCTGGGGACAGGCATCACTTTGGGAGAAGGATTTCTAGTCTCTAATACAAATGCAGCCCCAGGAAGTGGAACACCAGGTGGTCACCTGAGTGGGTGTTTGGGCAGCTCCCCTTGGCCGTTTCCGGGCTGTTAAGCTGTGTGTGTACATATGTGTCTGTGTCGCATACGCCTGTTACACACATCCCATGTTGCAAAGCAGGAAGGCTCAGAGGCGGGCCTTTCACGCACTGACTGGACCATGGGGACCCAGACACTGATCTGATGGCGCAATTGACCCAGAGCTGAATGGATACCTCGAGGTGGGGCCTGGCTGGACTGTACCCTGGATGGCTCTCCCCTCCCTCCAGCCTCTCCCTCTCTGCCTCCCAGCTGCCCACCCTGGGGTTTCTGCCGTGGAGCCAGAGGACCATGGTCTGAATCCTCCAGTTGTTAGTGTCAGGTATTCTGGCCACAGTGACAAAAAGTTAACATGAAATTCATCTGATATTTCATTTTTTCCCTTGGTTTAGTAACAAGATTTGGCTTAGCCTCATGAAAGAAGTGGAACCTTTTCAATCTTTTTTCTATATTCTAAACAGCTTAGTGGTTCCCTAGAAGTTAGAATGTTGAACTCAGGTCTCAAAATAGCGCCGGACTACTCAGGTTCTGTGTTTCTCCAGTCAAACGTCACTAATGTTTAATTTTTGCCCTGACTACGTATACTCATGCGTAAGTTCCTCCCCCAGAATGCTGATTCTCTTGTTCCAGCCTACCCAGAGCTCTAGCCACTTACTAACACGTGTTCTGTGTGCGCTGGCACTTGTTTATCAGTAAGGGAACGTGGCCTGAGAGGAGCCACGAAGCCCGTGTTGTCATGG